ATAGAATGATGGTTAAGTATCCATGTTGTTGAAATTCTGTAATCCACAGTGTTCTAATATCAGCACATCAGGCATGGACTTGGTGGCCTAGTTGGTAAAGGCAGCACTTCTAGTATACACTACAAGCAATACCCATTTTGCCCCAAAAATAAATGGCAATTTGGGTGGGGGAAAATGGATCAATTTTCTGGAAATTTTTTCCAAAATGCCTCAGGAGTAGAAATTAGGCTAAACTGAGCTATTTTAGCCCAGATATAGAAAATCCTCAAACATTCCAAAATGAATTTTTAGCTGATTTGAGACATTTTTATTTTTTGGCTAAAATAGCTCATTTTAGCCTAATTTTTTACTCCTGGGGCATCTTGTAAAAAAAGTGCCAGAAAATTGATCTATTTTCCACCTTCCAAATTGCCATTTTTCCTTGGGGCAAAATCGGTATTGTTTGTAGTGATAGTGTCTTAGCTTCAAGCTAAGGTCGCTGGTTCAAATCCTGCCCAAGTCAATTATTTTCTGCTAAATGTCTGAAAAATGCATTGTTAATTCTAACACGATTAACAGTTGAAATGTGCTATGTGCATACTATGCATTTACATGAGATTATGCAATATGCACTTATGCAATATGCAACTTTGGGAAATATAAAATCCTACTTCTTTGGAATATGCAAAATGTTATTATACAATATGCAAAATCCGCTTATGCAATATGCATTATCCATGTATAGACTAGCTTAGAAATGGTTGACATTAGGGTCTCCTGTTCTCCCACTTTGGATTAAGGAGGTGTGTTGAAATTCTGTAATCCACAGTGTTCTAATATCAGCACATCAGGCATGGACTTGGTAGCCTAGTTGGTAACGGCATAGAGATCGTTCCGCGGTACCCTTTGCTAGGTACCTAGTACCGCTTGGGGGGTACCCTTCACACCCACCCCGCACCTGTTGGGAGGTGCCAGGTGCGGTACTTGGTACCTATTTTTGTGAAAAATTGAACAGGTACCTAGGTACCGCTACAGGTACCCCCTCACTTCCCTACCAAAATGACAGTGGCCTTCTACTCCAAGAACTCCAAGAAGGTACCTTGGCTACATGGAAACAGGGACTCAAGGATAACAAGAAGTCTAAAAAAAAATCAAAAAGGAAGGTGATAGTTTTGGACAACAATGAAGATTCTTCTAATTAGATATAATTTGTAGGCAGTTTAAGCTTTACAATAAAATATTAAATCTGAAAAAATGAAAAAATTGACTTGGGATTGATGTTTTACAATAAATATGAAAAAAGGCAAGATTCTTCCCATTAGATGTAGATACTTGACAACAAATATGAAAAAAATTCCAAAAAAGTGACTTGAGTAATATTTTACAATAAATATGAAAATAATAATAATAATGAAGTAAGGTTCTTCCAATTAGTTTAAGATGTCTTACAATAAATATGACAAAAGGAAAAACAGTGACTTGGGAATGATATTTTCAATAAATATGAAAATATAATAACAAAGTAGGATTCTTCCAATTTGTTGTCAACATTTCCCAATAAATATGAAAGAATGGAAAAAAAGTGACTTGGGAATGATATTTTACAATAAATATGAAAAAAATAATAATAAAAAAGTGACTTGGTAATCTGAAAGTAAAGCTAGGTTAGAAAGAGAGGGGAGGTACCCGCGGTACCCGCCAAAAGTACCGCCGGTACCCGCCAGGAGGTGCCTGGTGCGGTACTTGGTACCTATTTTTTGAAAAAATTTAACAGGTACCTAGGTACCAACAGGTACCCAAGTACGAACGAACGATCTCTATAACGGCAGCACTTCTAGTATAGTGTCTTAGCTTCAAGCTAAGGTCACTGGTTCAAATCCTGCCCAAGTCAATCATTTTATGCTAACTGTTTAAAAAATGCATTGTTAATTTTAACACATGTAGAATTAGTTTCCTGTTCAATATAATACTAAAATATAAGGATGCCAACCGCGTAGAGTGGTTCGACGAGCAGGATTTCCTGCTAAAGCTTTGCTACTCAATGGAAGCTGGAGTGCACTGAGAGTGGCCGTGACAGACCATGCGCTGATGAGCACAAATTGGAAAAGCATTTTGTGAATTCCACCTCGGGTTACTAGATGTATTGTTTCCTGGATGGAAAAGCGACTGTGGTGACAAGATTCATGCCCCTTATACCCCAGTTCTTTAAGACAAAGTAAAAGCAGAGATTTCTCAGCTGAGCTGAAAACAAATACAGAGGTGGAAACTTGCACTATTGAAGGGATGTGTGGACGACCTATAAAAGCCAGTCGGATTTTTCAAGACAGACTGGCTTGGAAATAACCAGCCCGACTGATCAGATCAGCTTGTCTGACCAGAAACTACTTACAATGAAACCCTACAAGGGTCACCATTCACGGTGAAATTTCGTGACCCGTTGGTGACATCGAAGCAAGATGATTGAGCGAGTAGTTGAGTGTTCGCCTGTATACAACATGAAGCTAACCCAGCAGATACTGTCGAGTTGGAGCCAGGAGGATTCGCGTCAGTGAAGCATGATTTTAGCTGCAGTGACCACTTCAACACAATCAAAGTCATTGTTGCTACCGGAGTACAAACTCTCTTGGACAAAATGCCTGAGAACTGATTGGACCCTTATGTCACACTGGAAGTGTGACTTCCCAACGGTCACCATCCGCAGTGATTCTTCACCAAGAAATTTTACTCGCTGTGGTGGCTTGCAAAACCCACATTGACAATGGCAGCTGAGATGGCAATACATAAGTGTAATGATTTAAATTTATTTTTAATTTTTGTTAGAGATATGGCAAAACTTACTGAGTTCATTGGAAGTTAGTCTAATGAATTTGATAATCTGATGTTATTAATTAACAACGCTTTGTTTGTCATAACGTTCATTATAAATAGTCTTGATTTCATTAGTTCTTTCTCTCGATTGTTTTATATATAGTATTACTATGGTTGTTATCTTTCTTTCCTTATCGGTATATTCTTGTTCTTTATCATCATTATCATTAGTCAATACTAAGATATAATCTGTTCGATAAAACACATTATCATCATTCAAGTCCCTTTCAAGAACTTATCTTTACTTGAAGATAAGTTACCCTTATAACTCTTAATATAGACAATATCTCCTCTTGGAGATATTCATAGTCATTTAAGAAAAGAGAGTTATAGGTGGCTCCTCACAATAAGGGATCTGTGATAGGAACATTGTGACAAAGCAATTGTGAGTGTCCTGTCTAAATTTACAATGTGAGTGTCCTGTCTAAATGTACAAGTCATTTGAAGATAGTCTTGTCAAAAGCTAGGTGCTTCCAGAAGACTAAAGGGTACAAAATATAGAAATTCGGCATAATACCAAGGGAAATTCAAAAAGTGGATACATCTCTGATGGTCATTTTGGCACCAGAGGGCCTGTGTCACGGACGTGGCCCACCTTCATGACCTGTGGTGTGAGAGCCCGCCTATTTTCCCCTTTCTTAAATGACTGTAAGAGCATCTCCACCGCAGGTGGTAAATCCGGGGTGGTAAATGTCAGATTTACCACCTGCATTCCAGAATTGCCACCTGAGATCAGGCAGGTGCGCCACCACAAAGTTGTAGACCTTGGCTGAGGATTGGATGAGCAAGCAACATTGGCTTGTGAAAGGGTTGCACATATCGGGGTTTCACAAGCGGGATGGCTGGTTTCACACATGTACAAGAGGTGCCTGGGGTCAACGCTGCCACAGATACGATACACTGTGTGTATCATGGAGAATTCTGCAAAGCTGCATGGCCAAAAACCAAATTTGTTGAATCTCCTTGCAAATAAAAGCAGATTGGTCAGATAGTTTTTTTTTATTGGGGCTCAGATACATAGTGATACATGGCAGATACGGGCAGATACCGTATCTGTGGCAGCATTGCTGGGGTGGTACACAAGTGGTAGATCTACAACCTCAATACATTTTTTGGACCCGAGATGTTGATTACCACCCTGTATACCGCCCGCGGTGGGGAGGCGTTTTGGAAATTGGGGTGGTAAACGGGGCTTACAACCCGGATTTACCACCTGCGTTGGAGATGCTCTAAGTAACTTCAAGAGAATTTACCGTGTATATTACAAGAGAATAGGGGTAGTTTATCTTAATAAAGATAAACTCTTGAAGGGAGGATTTGAGTTTAGATTGATTTGATTATAAGTCTTGAAGATTATGATAAATAGGAAAACAAAAATATTGCGATAAGGAAAAGGAAAAGAAAGCGAGAAACATTCTAACAATAATGTAGTTATATGCAAAAGAGAATTTTGAAAACAACTAAATCCAGATAATATTACTTGAGTAATATTAAGACTTTAATTAACAGTTATTCAGATTAACAAAACAACTGCTTATAAGAATACAAATCAAATATTTGTCATAGATTTCTATAACTAAAGAGAATTTAGCTGTCAAGAAATCTAAATGTTACATGTGGGCTGTTGCATGGGCAAGGAAGAGGGACCAACTCATCAGTTTCAACTGTTTCATGTCTGTAGCCTCAAGGGCATCAACAGTGAGATGAGGGCAGGGGTGAGATCTGGTGCTGTGAAGCAATTAACTTAAGAGGCAAACCCATGGATTTTGTACTAGAGTAAAACTTGGATTTGAAGGGAAAGTAAGAATGAAAAATATCAAAATCTATATGAACTACTTATGTTTATTTTTTTGAAAAATCCAAAACTTACAAAATGTAAAATATAACACTACTATCAATGATGAATCTACAAGATTTGTTTTCTTTCTCAAAAAACAAACAGAAACACCAGAAAGATAAGAGAGGAAAAATGTGAATGTGTCAGAGAAAATCAAAAAAGAAAAAAAATTAAATCAATAACCACAACCCCCTCCTTGATCTCCCCTGATAGTGACACTCAACCAAAGGTGATAAAAAACAATTCTTTACAAAATCTAATATTCAAAAAGAGAAAGAAAAGAACAAAGACCAAGTAATTCATCCTTCATTTCTTGCTTGTATGCAAATTATTGACTTGGATCTCTTATCCCAAACATTCATGTCTCTTTATGAGCTGCTCATGTTTTCAGAAAATTTGCTTTGTTTTGGTTGCGAAATTTGATCAATTGGAGACTGATAAGAAAACGGAGAGTTGCTTCTGAATCATTGGGCTTTTTTGTAGAAGAAAAAAAGAGAAGCAAAAATTAGGAAGTAGGACAAAGGAGAAAATTGAAAATTTTGGATTTGAGGTAGGAAAGAAATCATGCGCTCTTTGAAGCAGAAATGTTGCTTCTTTGTTTTTCGTTGCTGTTGTTGATTCCACTCATCATGAAATCTTAACTCAAAATAGTAGTACTAAATTATCATGATTGTCTGTCAGCCCAATCCTAGAAAATTGTGTAAAAAGGTTGCAAAATATGGTCAGTTGATCAAGAGTGATGGAGTCTGAAGTGAACCAAAAAAGATACCGACTTACGATCCATTCACCATACATATTAGGTCTTTCGCACCGCAAATAGGCCTCAAACGTCCTCTTTAAAACAGTAGCCCAGCCCAAGTCGCGTTCATCGTCGGCCACGTCATCCTGGTCAAGCTTGATCGTTCTGATCAAGTCTTCCTCCAGCTCTTCTCTCGTCTGATGTCCACCGTATAGATTACTACCCTCGCTCTTCTTGTCACCCGTGTTGCCTTTGGCCTTACTGCTGAGCTGCTTGGCCGCCAGTGCCTTTGCTCGGGTCACTCGCTCGCCGTGCTCGAACCTCGATCCGAGGTCGGGGAAGTTTCGTGAAGGATCAAACGGGATCCTGGTTGAGCGCAGAGATGAGGAAAAAGACCCAAGTGATCAATATGCGGAGTCTTTGATACCAGTTGAAAGCCGGTGGTGTCAGCAAGAGCCACTGATCAAATCACTCACCACCAAAAGTTATGAAAATGATAGCTAAATGCGCCCCGGAAGAATCCATCGAAACCGATCGCGGCTGGACCAGCATCAGTCTCTCTTGGGGGATCAAAAAAGTCTTCAAACCGTTTAAAGTATGGGAATGCCGGTCGGTCACGTTGATAGTATTCAGTATTCAACCATGCTGAGTCGAACAACGCGTCGGGTAATCGCAAGAGTAGGCCATCCAGGTAAGCATCCTTTGTATATCTATAATCAAATTGAGTTGAGTGTCAATACCATCACCCCGAAAGTCTTATAAAAAGCAGAAATTATCATAATAACTCACCGAGAAATGGTCATAGGATGAAAATCTAATCCGTTAGCTAGCGCCGTTTTGAATAGAAAGCTTCCAACAGCAGAGTGTCTATGAAGCCTCAGAACAGCGGTATTATACTTCTCTAATCGACTCCATCGGTAAGCGAATTGACCCCTCCAGCCCCACATTTCTTCCCAGTCTCTTAGCAAGATAGTATCAGCATCCAGATAAATTCCCCCGAACCGATGGCAGAGTACGAAGCGGGCCATATCTGACAGAACCACAGACAACCGATCGTAACCTTTGGAAGAGGTAGATCCAACCCGCTGGAAGAGTTCATCGTCACTCTTCTTGGTCGTTGGGGTCACCGTCGATGAAGATGCAGGGGATGGTGCTGAAGCAGCAGCCTCTGGTTGTGGGTTGGTTGCCGGTGCCGACATGTCTTCGGCAACAGCTGCTTCTCCACGGGTATGATTTCCAAATCGACCAAGCTCTTCTTCGACTACGTCTGGGGCTTCACCTTGGCCATCTCCGTCTTTGTCTGCAAGCTTTGCCTTTTCTTCAGGAACGACGATCCCGATCTTCACGGGTGCTTTCACTTGGCCATTGGCGTTTACTGTAGGACCGTGTTGGTGAGATTTGACCGGTGCGGCAGGTGCCGATCCATATTTGACCCCTCCACTATTGAATAAAGGTAGCTCACGCCAATGATCACGCAATTCAGGCACCCCATCAAGTTGCTCGGTCGTGTTCCACATCTTGAATTTGATGACTTCCCTAAACCGAGGATGCAGGAAGGGTGCACTCCATGGATTGTCTTTCAAGTCGTCAAACATCTCTCGCCTAGCATTCGGATTCGGGATGGCAGCTGCAGGTCCGGGGTTGATCCAAACCCACATCTGCGGGCGACAAACTTCTGATAGGAATTTGGATCGACGTGCAAAGTTTTCTTGTTCATCTTTAGTCATTTTGGCGCCCTTAGGGGGCTCTGCGAGGGGCAGATGGAGGCCGAGATTTTGAGTGAATAGAAATGAAGATAGCGCCAAATAAGGTTTGTCAGTGAACGGACCGGCCCAAAAGATGTGAAAGATCTTAGGGTAATCGCTATCACAAGTCGGATCTGCAGTCGGATGGGAAGGGTGACGGGTCGAAGCTTTACGTCTTGAATCTGCCGTGTTGTGAACTTGTTTCTGAATTTCTTTCAGTTTTTGTGGATAAGCATCTGATTTGAGGAGGGACAGCACATCGATAGGTTGATATGACGGGTCCTTGATCATTTGTTCTCCACGCTCTTCGTCCATTGGTATATGCAAAGCAGGATCGTAATCTGGAAGTGGTTTAGTAGAAACTGCGCGCACAGAGCCATCATCATTATGCTCATGATAAACGTGACGCCATCGTGCAGTTTCTCCCCGCCTGACCCGTTTTTCGACGTCCAAGCCACCGCCCATTCTGAGAATCTCCAGACAATCCCGCACGTACTGGTTGGTCGAAAAGTCACAATAATCCATAACGACGTCTAAATCAATTATGCCATTGGGGATCGGACGAGGAGGATAAGGTAGAGGTGGTGATGTGGGAGATGATCGGTTGTAATGATAAACCGGAGGTGCAGTGATATTCAGGTAAGACCTAGTTGGGCCGATCGGGATGATATCGTCTAGGAAAGATGGAGGTGCACGTAGTTGGTTCTGCTGCAAGACCCTTGTTGGTGGTACAGCAACATGATCATCGAAACGGTTGAACGAAGACTGATCTGAAGCCGAATTCCGACCAGAAGATAATTTACGAGGTAGGCCAGGATTAGGAACCTGAGTAAGGCCAACAACGGTCGGCGTCCGCCGGGAGGAGGGATAATGGCCCTGACTGATTTCCCACTCCCAAACTCGGCGGATCGTCTGCTCATTTAAGATTAACGTGGAAGGGTCTTGAAAAGGTAAAGGGATCCGCCGGGTGGATTTCCTGATGGCCGATCGAATTTTACTGAAGGCCAGCAGGATCGTCGTCAGGGCAATAAGACCGTAGAAGAGTGTGAGTCGATAGGAGCGTTTATCCGCCGAGCGACGAGAACCAAATGTGGAATGACGAGGATGGTTTGATCGATAGTTCTGAGGTGCCAGATTCGGATAGTTGGGATAGAAGACGTTCGGGACTGGTAAGATGAGCCGGCGGGAGGTGAAGGGGAGTGGCATAGGGTAGGGGGAGAAGTAGGCCGCGAAAGGTCTGAGGATGCTGAATGGCCGACGAGCAGTCGATAGCCTGTGTTTCTCGATCACCGCATCAGGAGGGTCAGGACTTGCCAGCAGTGAGGAGAAGATAGTTGAGGAGGGACCAGCAGAGGCGACTGGAGTCGAATAGCCACTGCCACCACCCGGAGGACGACCATTGACGAGGGGTAAGGGGGTGGTGGGGCGCATGAGGAAAGTCGGAGCCGATGAGAGGAAGAGTCTTCTTGTCTTGGATGGTCAACAGCAGCAGAAATGGTCAACAGGAAGAGAACGGTCAACAAGAATTCAGCAAAGTCAGCCATCCAGGTCGGAGAAACGGACCAAGTCAAAAACCAGATTAAACTATACAAAACAAAACAAAACGAATTGCCACAAGGAAAGAGGGCATCATCGGAAAGAATATGATATATCAATACCTGAATACCCAAAGGACTCCACAGAAATTCTGGAAATGAGTAAATACATCACTCCCACAACAATTACTCAGAATCACAACCAGATCGATCCTCTCATCCCGGATACAAATTCATAAAAGAAATTCAGAGGTTTCATGATGGAAGTGCACATAGTGGGTCGCCGCAAGAATAGCCCGGTTCACAATAGGATGGTTCATGTCTGAACTTTGAGGCAAATTTAATGACATTTATCATCAAAATTTTACAAATTTATCAGAAATCTCAAATTCCTCTGACCTTGATGTTTCATGAAATTTTGCAAAATTCATAAAATTTTATCTTCAAGTGCATTAAAAGTGGCCTTAAACTCCAGACGTGAACCGGCCCAATAGGACGGTTCACGTCTGAACTTTGAGGCAAATTTAATGACATTTATCATTAAAATTTTGCAAATTTACCAAAAATCTCAAATTCCTCCAAACTTGATGCTTCATGAAATTTTACAAAATTCATAAATTTTTATCTTCAAGTGTGTTAAAAGTTGCCTTGAACTTCAGACGTGAACCGGCCTAATAGCCAGTTCCGATAGCTGATGACCTTGTTAAAAGTTGCTTATAGCATTTTTTTGGATGTATCTGGAATAATCTGGGGGACTCTGGACTAAAGATTCAAAAATGGATGTGTTTTGAAGTATCAATGATTTGCTGATTACAGCAAAAAGTTTTGCTGATGATTGGCTATTGTGAACAGGGCTAATATGAAGAAACCACTGACAATTTTTTTGAAAAAATCCAATTATTCTTCATGTCATCATTTGTATTGCAAGTGTTTAATACTTGTCCAAAAAAAACCCAAAACTATAGGATGATATCAAGTTGAACTTTTGCTCTGGTAGTGTGACTTAGTGGCCCGCTACTGATGTTGTAATCAGAGAAGATGATAGAAATATGTAAATTCAGAAAATAACTAAATCAAGGCAAGAATTTTCAGTGAGACTGATATAAGGTGCTCTATTTAATGCCAAGTTAAGATCAGAGGTGGTAGTTAAAGAAAATTTGGGATTTTCATTTTCATTGATTTTTACAAATTTTTATTTTTAATTTGTCACCTTTGAAATCAATAGTTCTAAACAAAAAGAGCTAAGTCAAAATAACAGATGTTTGATTCTATGAAAAATTTATATGGTCTTGCAAGCGCGTCTGGGCACAAACCCAAGTCCCGCTTGGCCAATAGCCACCGGGGGTTTGATTTGTGCCCAGAGGGCTTGATCATCCGGAATCTGCGGGGGGCGGGACTTGGCACATACCCAAGTCCCGCTGGGCCGATTGGTAGCAGGTGCCCCAGCTCGGCACTGGGCCCCGACTCAGCAGCTGGCCTTCTCGGGGGCCGGCATGTTGGCGGGCGTGGCACCCTCGCTTGATTTCGGTCAAGCGAGGCTTTGCTCCGACCCCCGCCAGCTTTGACATGTGCCAAGCGGGGGTTGGGAGGGTGCCACTCGGGCTTTAGAGTCGGCCAAGCGTGCTTTAAGATCGGCCCAGCGCGCTTGGCCTGTTTTCGGCCGAAGTTTGGTGTGTGCCCAGACGGGCTTGCAACACCATACCATCAACTCAGAAAGAGTCAGAGATAAGTTCAACCCACTGAAACCTTTTGGAAGATTTATTGTACTTGAGGTGGAAGATTGATTGGGACAGTTCACATTTTTAATTTTTTAGTAAATTTTTCATTTTTAAAATAGTGGAGAAACCCAGTTTCTCATGCCTAAAATTGGACGCTGCCACAAGGGCTTTGATCTGGACCCTGAAAGTGGATATTGGGCATGCTACTGGGAATTTTAAGGTACAAATTTCACCCTACAAGACCTTTTCCAGTGGTTTCTGGCTGCAAAAACATCTAGGAATGAGCTGGGTGGGGCATGATCCTTCTAGAGATTGTCTGAAAGTCTTCTGTATACATGGCTTTTGAGGTCTGGATCAGAAACCTAGCCGCCACTGCCATTTATGGTTGATTTCATAAACCAGCAAGTGGATATTTTATTTGAAATCATCAAGAGTTTATTGAATAAACTGAAAGACTCCCTATTTGGAAGCAATTTATTATTATTTTTGCCTGACATCCCATGTGACATCTGATTAGGTCTGCAAAAACTTTATTTGATGTCACAAGATTCCAGATTGTAATTTCAAGATTAAGGCCCCGTTTGGCCGTCTGTAATTTGTAATTTTGAGTCAAGGTTTGGCAGGAGTTTGTGCAAAAACTTTATATTGTTTTATATTGCACGGTCCAAATCCGCGCCAAACCTTAGCCAAATTACAAATTGTGATTTCGGCCAAAGGGGGCCTAAGGCCTTGTTTGGCAGCAAGATTTTAGTGTGGTTCACGTTTGAATTTTTTGCTTCTGACACCTTTTGAAATTTGTTCTGGTTGCTTTGTTTAATCATAAAATTGAGAACTTGCTGGGTACCCTATGGACACAACAACTCAACTGAGCCACACCTCAGGATGTAAACGGGTCGGGTTCGGGCCCAAAAACAGTGCCCGAACCCGACCCGACACCTATGTCGGGTTGGGTCGGGTCAGGTCAAACTTGAATATATGCTGCCCAGACCCGAACCCGTCTTGGGACTTTTCGGGTTCGGGTCGGCAGTTTGCATGTCGGGTTCAGGCCGACCCGAGTGTTTTAGCCTTTGTGGAGCAACTATGACAAAAAATTACCTGCCCGACTATCAAAACACCTGCCCGAACCCGACCTGCTAAGCTTCCGGGTCAGGTTCGGGTCATGTGATTTTCCCACAAAGTCTGCCCAAACCCGACCCATGACCCGTCGGGTCTCGGGTCGGCTTTGGGTCGACCCGACCCATTTACACCCTGAGCCACACCTACATATTACTGAGGTCTAGTCATGTGACCCAAAGAAAAGATTCCAAGGTCCTCAACTTAATTGTTCACATGCTGGGGGAGTGAGTTACAAAAAATGTTTGAAAAGCTTATTTTATTTGTTTCTGAGGCTCACCAAACTTGCATCTGGAAAAATCCAAATGTGAACCCCGCTATTGCTATTTTTGCCTGACATCCTATGTGAGATCTGATCAGTTTCACCAAAACCCTTTCAGATGTCACCAGAATTCGCAAAATATTGCTGCTGTTGAGTTTTTGAGCTTCTGACAGGATGGCAATGAAGATTTTTGAGAAAATGGCGCAAAAAAGGCTGAGGGCCTGTTTTGGGAAAGTTTCACGGAAAATGAATGGAAGAACCAATAATTTTCATTCACAAGTATCTATCCAGGATTAAATAGACTAAATACAAGTGCATAAAATGTGGTTGAAATGAAAATGAATAAAGAAAATATTTTGAATAGAAATTGAGAGAAGATAAAATAAGTTCTTGTAAGTAAAAACTAGACAACACTTCTCAGTCTCTTTTAGTCAGGCCAGATGAGTTAATCAAGATAAAATATTTTAAATCACCAATAATAAGAGGTGTTAATTCTTATTAACCAATTTTTTTAATATCAGACAATAAACCAGAAAAAGAAGAATTAATACTGTAGAGACAAGATTGATTGAGTTGAGCTTATTTTCTTAAGGTTAAAATTTGACTTGAAAGAGGTCTCAGAAAACAATTAAAAAGCATGCTACTTGGAAAAATCACTCCAGTCTGAATTAAGGTGATTAGAAAGGAAAGAAGGGCAGAGAGAGAAAAGTAGAGGAAAAATCAACAGCTGCCAAACAGAGCCTCAAGATATTATCAATTTTGATTTCATTTTGATCAGCTAAACAAATCCACCAGCACTAGATCTCTTCTTCTTGAATTGGCACCTTCCACATTTGATCTTTGCTTGTTTAATTGTGTATGCCTCCAAGCTGATAAAGGTTTTAGAAATTTGGAAAGCTGAACATCTGTTGGAGATTCTGTGAAACCACTGTCACTTTTTGCTTTTTCCAATAGTTGATGATAAGAAGCTTAGATTTCAATTGGGACCCCTCCACAAAGTCATATATACAGATGATGAGCAGATGTGACAGTGGTGAATTTTGATTGTTGGCATACATGTCACAGGAGATGTATCGAGTCGAGACTCGAGGGTTGGTGTAACATGAGCATGAAACCCAAACAGAAACTGCGTGACAGCTGGCTGGCTGACTCTCGAAGCTCAACAACGTGGCAACAAGACAAAAACTACCACCACCACCACCACCACCATCCACTCTACAACCACTCCACTCCGCAACACACAACTTAAGAAGAATTAGAAAATGGCAGCCTCGACTCGTAAGAACAAGGCCGCCGCTGATGGATCTCCATCCAAGCACCCCGAAAAGCCGGCAGCTGGTGTCGAGCAGGACTCCTCAGACAACGAATCCTCCCAAGAGGACGACGACCAGAGTGAGTGATCCTACTGGCTCATGGATTGATCGGACATGATCTAACGAGCCAATTGTCCGATCATTCAGCTGTGCCCGTTCAAGTCAACAATGCATGCATTACGGAATTGAAGAATGCGCTGGATGACACGATGAAAGTGAGTTACCGACTCATCCGAAATATGCATGGGCCAGCGAACGGATGACTAATCTTCATTTCCCCGTACTTGTTCTACTCTCTTTCACACAGTCTTACCTCACCTCTAAGGTCGGGTTCACTCAAGACTACTTCTGCGATGACGTCAAGCTGGGACTCGGATGGACCTCCAACATTATCGCTGCTGGAATTAGCTTGGCCGGTTGGCACTTTGGATGGGAGAAAACCCAGGGTTATACTGCTTACTGTGTCGGAGCGTACGTCAATAAAGACTGCATCACCCCTCCAGAGGCCCTTGCGATATTCCCCCTGTACATCAAAATTCAATCGAATCATCTCTTTTTGTAGGTATATGGTTTTATCTCTTGCTTTGACCGTCTTTACATCGACGGTAGAAAAGAAGAAAGTGTTTGTCGGTACCAAGCCGAGCAAGGCCAGTGGAGTAAGTAGATCTACAACCTAGGTTTCAAGATAAAGTTTAAGGCTCATGGTTGATGAAAGTTAACGTTACCCTGTTTGTTGAAAATGTTTTTGTTGATCAGACTGGACCAGATAAGGTTACGATCTCCACAGAAGTCAAGCCGTTCGATCCGGTATACCAACTGCAACTAGAATACGAGACTTGCAAGAAGAGCGGCCCTCCTAAGAAATACCAGGTGGCCCTTAAGCCGCATTTCAAGGAGTTCTTTGACGTCGATGGGATCTTGGATGAGTCTCGTTGGAACAACTATCTCGACAACGCTCTCAAAACTGCCATCTCAAAAACGTGATTGATCCGGTTTCGGTCCTCGTTTTCTGTCTGCTGCGAAGGGTAGTTCCGCTCTTTTGGTATTGTTTTTTTACTCATCCATCATGCTGGTTTGACCTCATATACCTCACAAAATATACATATACATATAAATCTTCTATCACATCCATCCATGTACTTCTTGGAGATAGGTTTTTTTTTCTTATTTTTTCACCTCTGCTGTTCTCAAGTTCTAGTTATAGATATTCAGTGAAGCAATAAGTTTTTTTTGTCTTTCAGTCATCATTCAATTGCTTGTATCTAGTCTGATTGAATGTTCACATGGAATTTCAAATCCAAGCAAGAGCCACCGGAATTAACTCATGACAAGTGCTTATCTTGTTTATACCTTTGTCTCCATGGTAAGTTTGAAGTGCGGAATAAGTTCTTTGCACAGCTTCAGAAGGAGGAGTGTGGGTTTGAGATCACTTATCCGGTAAGCCAATTTCTTATATCACGGTGTGGACTAAGACAAAGCAGATTACAATATATGTATCCCAGTAAGCAACAAATATGCCTTACATAGTGCAGCTCCCACTGCATATGTTGGTCAAAAAGCCTTTGACTTCAATTCGGGATTGAATCAAAGTTATTGAAAAGCGGCTTATCGAGTCGGGGAAAGAACAACATCTATCAACTATTTGTTTTAGAATATGAGAATCGAGGGTCTGATGAGATCGAGGGTACGGTGTGCTTTTAGTGATGACTTGTTCGGATAGATCAATGGAGATGAGACGAATTGGAAGGACGATTCAAGCGAGAGATAATCAAGTACATAGAAAACAAATTCAAAACAAGCATCTATCTACTACACTAGTCATACATTATAGGCAAGAGAAACGGGGAATTTTCCGGGTAAGTATATATCGACCACTTTTCTGATTCTAAGTAGCCTGGGGTGTCAATCGGGAATCCAAAAAGCGACCATCAATATTTAGATCAAATCGACTTACATGCCTGAGTTGATGGAGAGTAGAGAGAAGAGTCCGAAATCACTTACCGGGAAATGGAATTGTTCAGGTCATTTGGCGTTGGTGATGAGCATGCTATATATTTATTTTGTTAAAATGATTTGAATCAGCTTCAGATTTCAACAAAACATTTATCCACCATGTATCAAGTACTGACTTTTGACGAGTTAAGTTGTTAACATAAGTCTGTAACATTTCATTTTCAGCTTTCTTCTTTTCGAATTCGCCTTCAACCTTCTTGATTTCATCTAGGACGCCTAAATTTTACAGGAAACGATCATCAGTTCTCTTCTGCAGCATTCAACCCTTATCTGACGGAGACACAACCGGAGGAATTCTTCGGGGTTTTTTATTTAGTTGTCATCCAACAAACCTTTAAGGTCCTGCTGTAAACCTGCAATTTCCCTGCAAAAAGGTGTATCAAATCAAAACGAAATGTAAGTATTCGAAACCGAATGCATAGTTGAAGAGATAGCAAGCAATCTGATGGTTAAATGAATGAAGAAGATGACGTAGATTGACAAAGAAGACTGACTTGATCAATTTTTCCCGCTGGATGGCTCTTGAGGCCAGCTCAGGATCCTCCGAGTCCGAATCGACAGCCTGAGGAGGATCAAGACCAGTAAATTCGCTCGAACCAATATCGCCGTCGTCCATGTTGAAGACTGATTTGAAGATTTGGATGTGGTTGGTTTGATGTTTTCTCTGGCTTTTGAATGTCTGTGAAAGGTAAACGAACCGGGAAGGGTTGCTTCACCCTGCCTGTGAAACCTCTCTCCTGCGGCGATTGAAGCTGCGCATACTATCGTGTAAAGTGTTTTGAATATTCAAAATGGAACTCAAGCCATCCAACAACTTTGATTGATCTGCCAAGCCTGCTGAATCAGATGGAGCCTTCATAACACTCCTCAAATATTCCAAGCTGGACAATTCTCCATTTTGGTATGCACCTTTTCGTTTGATTTTCATTCTTGCCGCACCAAAATATGCAGACTGACACTTTTTTGCATTTTTAAACATGCCTTTTTACACCCATCGACCGCTCTAATCTCTGTATCTCGATCATCCTTGATTTCGAAGTCGATTCTTTGCTTGAGTTAATCAGAAAAGTTCATATCTTTAACCCATTAATCGACGTCTGAGGAATTCTAGAAATGGTGAGTTGTTCAGCCACTTTCTTTCCTCGATTTGGAGAAACAATCCATCTTTTTTTTTGTGCCCAAGTGACCCTTTGTTGGAGATGCTGAAATCGATCAATCTATTCTTCTTTATTTATCAGGCCAAGCACATCCAATTCCATCAAACTGATTCAGAGTCAGAGACTCAAGCGGATTCACCCTCTCGATTCGATTCAACTCACCAACCCAATTCCAAGGCTGCCCAGCACCAAAACGGGATGACCGACAAGCAACGGCGTGATAGATCAGAGGCTCTAGCTCAAGCTCAAAGACAATTACCCATTTATGCTGGTACATTTATAAGAAAGATTCCCCAGTCGACGTGAACTTATCAACAGTCGCTAAGAGTTTTTCTGTTCTAAACATTCTTCCACGTCTCAGGCAAAGAGGCGATAATCAACGAAACTTGGAATAATGATACGATCGTCGTCTTGGGAGAGACCGGATGCGGTAAAACGACTCAGATACCACAATACCTTATCGGACCGGAATACCAGAAACTTTCAAATAACTCAACCAAACCTATCAAAGTCGTTGTCACACAGCCCAGACGTGTCGCTGCAATGTCATTGGCAACCCGGGTCTCCGAGGAAGTTGGCTGTCGACTTGGGACCACAGTTGGCTATACCGTTCGATTTGATGATTGCAGCGAGCAGAAAACAAGGCTCAAATATGTCACCGACGGGACGTTGTTACAAGAGATGCTCTCGGACAAGCTACTATCAAACTATGACATTGTGATCATTGACGAGGCCCACGAGCGTTCACTACGTACAGATATGCTACTAGGATTTTTAAAAGGGATCCAGAGGACCCGTCGAACTATGGTCGAAGAGGGCTCCGATTTCCCGAAAAGGAAATCTTCTGATAGTCAACAAGGTAAACCTGCCCGAGCGTTGAAAGTGATCATCATGAGTGCGACAATCGATGCCGAGCGATTCAGTCAGTTTTTTGACGAGTTGAGCATACATTATCTCTCCATCTAATCTGGATCTCCATGGCTAATGGGAAAAAACCCCTAATTCTTCTCCAAGAATAGTGCAAAGATTCTCTACGTCAAAGGTCGTCAACACCCAGTCACCTTGTTCTATGCACAAGAGCCCCAAGAAGACTACGTCGAATCTGCCGTCAAGACCTCATTGCAGATACACGCCAAATATCCGCTAGGCGACGTGCTTATCTTTCTGACGGGTTAGTACACCTGTACATTGCCTATTAGGGTTTTAATAGCACTGATCTTGATTGCCATGACCAGGTCAAGATGAGATCGAAAACATGCAAGCGCAGCTACAGATGTATGCCGACGATCTGACACCGACGATGCCCAAAGTGAATCATGGGTATTTTTTTGTTCTTGAGCAAATGTCCAGACAACTAAAGCGGGAAATGTGATTATTTTTCAGATGATGATCTGCCCGCTCTATGCCAAGCTTCCGCCTCACCTGCAACAAAAAGTCTTCCAACGAACCCCTCCCAATTTTCGAAAGTTCATCCTCTCAACCAACGTAGCCGAGACCTCGATCACGATCCCCGGGGTGAGCTATGTGATCGATACCGGGTTTGCCAAGGTCAAGCGCTTTCATAGTATGGCCGGCGTCGAAGAATTGCGCGCCGAGCCCATCAGCCAATCTTCTGCAAATCAGCGCACGGGTAGAGCCGGTCGAGAGGTACGACCTTCTATCTTACCCTCACCGATAACTTTGAAGAGGTTTCTGTCGCTTATTTCTCGGTCTCTCTTCTCTAGTGCCCTGGAAAATGCTGGAGACTCTATTCACAAGAGACTTATAACTCGCTGGCCAAAATCACTGAACCGGAAATACAGCGATGTAGTTTATCATTTGCAATTCTGCATCTATTGGCTACTGGGGTACATGATATCTTCAGTTTTGAATTTATGGATAAACCCAAACTGGATGATCGTCAGTTGATTTTCGAAAGAACTTAATCTTTGGATTTTTTTTTTGACTGACCGCAACTATTTGATTTATCCAGTCAAGTTCGCCCTGGTTCATTTGGCCCTCCTGGGTGCTCTAGATTCGGGCTCAAAGATTAATGCGCTTGGTCGACAGATGGCGACGCTACCTCTAGACCCGCCCCTTGCCAGATGCCTCTTGGCTTCGTTCGACCATCGATGCGCCTCAGAGATGATCGACCTGATTGCACTCTTAGAGCATTCCGATACCCTCTTGGTGAATACGATCAGTACCCGGGAATTAGCGCAGGAAGCCAGAAGAAAGTTTATCCATCGAGATGGGGACCATTTGGTTCTCTTGAACATCCTCAAAGCTTACCAGAGCACCTCCGAGAATTGTCAATCACAAGCCAAGATGAAGATCGAACAGAAGGCTTGGTGTAAGGAGAACTTCATCAACCCGAAGGCGCTGAGTAATGTGCTCGAATCCAGGAAACAGCTCCGGGATCGTTGTAAACGGTTGGGCTTGGATTGGAGCCAGTCTAGTCGTGATCCGCAGGAATCAGGCGAGATGATTTCTAGTGTCGCAGAAGAAGACTCGTCCCCGATCCTCTGTAGTCTGCTTGCCGGTCTGGCCACCCAACTAGCCATCAGACAACCCGACCAAAGCTACATCAACCCCATCACCAAAGTGGTAAGCTCTTTTTTTGTGTTCTTGTCTCTAACTGTTTTCTGTATCATCGATAAGGTTGTCTGACCCCACCACCTCTTAGCATGTCAAGATCCATCCATCCTCGAGTCTTTATGGTAAGGGCGTCGAGACGTTTATATACCACGAACTGGTTAGCCTTTTTTTCTGTTTGACTCTACTGAGTGAATATCTCTCGAAATCTGACACGACCTGGCTTCCTTTGATTTCTGTTCCATACATAGGTTCATACCTCTTCAACTTACGCTAGGATGTGTAGCGTGATGAAGCCTATTTGGATTCAGGACCAAACTACTCTCTTCAACTCGGCCTGATTTGTTTTCGTTCTTTCTTGTAGCACTTGTTTTCAAATGCCTCATAGCCTATTGGCTAAGAATTACATACTTTACAGACATATATGACCCACCCAGTTATTATTTGTTTGTCAAAGACCATTGTTTATGCTTTTTCTAGGACTGTTTAATACTTGCGCTAAGAATAAATACTCATTTTTCCAGGGTTTTTTTTGTAATTTTATTGCCATTTTGATTCAATTTCTTCATCAATACCTTTCACTATTTGGAATTCACAAATGCTCTCTTCGCGTGTCATGTCAACGTGTCGCGTTTATGGAAAGACAGATGAAGACAATTTCAACTTGTAAAGAAAGGGGCGAGTTTGATTTCCATACTTGTTGCGAGCTTCACACATGAAATGATGTTGATCAGGTTGTGTGTTTGATTCCCATAGTACACAACCTCTCTTGTGGATGTATTCATCTACTCTGATTCGAGCATGAATCTGGAATCTCCAATCCGACTGCAAAAACACAAGCATTGCCACTATTTCAATGAGATCCCTGGGCCTAAAGATAAGTGAAACTGATTGGCAAGGAGGCAATGGCACCTGAAGTCCTTGGGATCTTGATTGTCATACTGGAATTCAGGTTGTTGATTGAACACTTCAAAAAATCACTTTAAAGTAAAACACCTTTTGAGGGGAAACATCTTGCTGAATTTTCCCCCACACATTTTGCCACTTGTGTGCATGGAAGAAGTTGTTTGGGGAAAGCAAGCTTGCAAAGTCTTCCGATCTGCCATCCTGGTTTTGCCATTGGATTAAATGTCCATTATTTTGATAATCTCTGACAAAACTGAACCGAAAATAGGTCACAGGAAGATAATTCTAAACCATCAACAAAAAGAGCCACTTGTTATTCCAAGAGGCCCTCAGCAACAAAGGGGCCATTTAACAATTTGAAGCAACTCTTCATACAGAATTTCGTCACACAATCATAACACTTGCCCTTTATAAGTTACGCTTGATACTTTCGCTGTCTTGTAACCTCATCATGATTTCAAAAGTCAGCTAGCTTAATAGGCCAGCTCAGTTGGACGCTCCTTATAGTGCTGAGAGTGCCTGACTGGATAATGGTCGTCTCGAACTTGACACAAGTCTCTGGCTGCGGGGGGCGCATCTGGCAGCGTAGCGCTGGCCAGGCGGTTCCCGAAGGGAACTCCCCGCAGGGGAGACTTGGGCCAGAGGTCGACCAACTCAGGTGCTGAGTTTGGATTGTTTTGGTGGGAGCGTCACAAGATTTGAAATCCTGACGCTCCCCGAGCCTAACACAAGCCTCGCTGGTGAGAGCCCGGAGGGCAGCCCCGCAGGGTCTCTGTCTCACAGAGAGGCTTGCCCCCAAAGCCCCAAACCTGGTGTGGATCCTGAGAATTTTAACCTTCCAATAACCTGTGTTTTCCACAATAGGGCCCCGTGAATGAAATCCAAACAGAGAACTACATGTTTTGGGGAGATGCCCATGAAGGTGTGCATCTTGCGCACTCACCGGGGCCCTCAGCATGTTGATTGGCCTACAGATGACCCCTCTGTGCCCCGAGGAAGTCGATCATCAGCTGAGAAAATGGTCGGAAAAGTATGTCTTACATCCTGATGAAATCGGCATTCTTCCTGTACTAAAGCTGTATTAGAATATTGGTGATGGTTTTGCTGTTACACAACAGCATAATGACAGTGCATTATGGAACGCGAGCATGGACTTAAGAGAAACTATGCTCCTATGTTGAGATGTATGGCCAGGGATCTCTCAAAAACCAACATTTTCAATTGCTTATATCTCTTTTAACTTTGGCATAGTAAGAGTAAAAACTATGTAGCCCAGAAGGGCAGAAGTAGAGCTTGAATCTGACACATTGGCGGAGGATTTGGCTCAACGGGTAAATTTTTTGCACAGGTGCAAAGATTGTTACCACCAAAGAGCACGGAAACGCCTCTCAGGATCCACACGAGTAGGGGGGCTTTGGGCACAAGTCCCTCCCTGCGGTCGGCGCAATGCGACAGTGGCGAGGCCACTCGCATGCCAACGCCGCCCATAGCAGGGAATCGGGACTTGCGTTAAGTTCGGACGCTCCCTCAAAACTTTTTTGATGTTTGGTCTCGGATTATTAAAAACCTGCCTGATCTTATTGATCAGGCAAAATTTCAAAGTTTTAGAATCACAAAAACAATTACAGCTATTTCGGAAAGGGTTGTCCAGTTGTCTCTCAATTTTTTTTTTTTTTTTTGAAAATTCAGCTATTTCGGAAAGGGTTGTCCACTTGGACTCGCGAAATCTTTTTTATTTTTTTATTTTTTTTATTCTTAGTTTGTACATGAGCTAGAACCTTGTCAGAACTGAACTACCGATGACAGCTGTACCTCCTCGGCTGTAGTTCAGTACAAAGAAAATTTAAAAATTTTCAAAAAAAAAAAAAAAAAAATTTGAGAGACAACTGGACAACCCTTTCCGAAATAGCTGTAATGATTTTATCAAATCAGCATTTGAGCTTTCTTTTACGCTGACATAAGCGGTTTGATGAACTCGCACACGCCAAAAAAGCTCGACTTCAGTTGAAAAGTTGTCATTTTCAAAAATAACTACATCAAAACTCACAACATGACACCAGAATGTGAGCAGAGGGAAGAATGTACAAGAAGCAGACCCTCCTTGGGCCACAAGTAAACTAGATAACAGTGGAAGAAGAAGAGCATAGGCAGAAAAATGCACAGAAAACTGGGTTTCAAGCCTAATTTTGAAAACTCAGCACGCGGGGATTGCCGCATCTGTCTTTAGGCCTCCACTGGCGTGGACAGCTCCGCTGCTCGCTCCCGCTCCCGCCATGGAGGCCTAGTTAGGCTCGTGGTCGTCTGGAGTCTCAGTCGGAATTCCAGCAGAAGCGACTGACTAAAAGATCAGGCTTTGTAATCGCCTCGTCTTGATTAAAATTTCTAAGCCTCCCCTCATTTAATTTATATGCGCTTATGAGCTTGTTGATTATCATTCGATTGGGGTTGTTGGTCAGTCGGATCGATGACGTAACTCAATACTCTTCTCTCGATCAGTTCTTGAAGCCCCTCATCTGTGTATGTCCTTGGGTTGTTGCTTCGTCCCTTCTTCTTTCCATCCCCCTCACATTGAACAACAATCCCATCCGACTCTAATATTATTATTATTTTCATTTTCATCCCAAAAGAGAACCGCCCTGGATCGATTGTCAATCCACTTTTCTCCCAGTCTTCCTTGCAGCCTCAGAGACTGCTGCCGTGTTAATTATCAGAGGTGACAAGGAAACACAATCGCGACAAGCATATCGAGTTGAACCAGCATCAAGGTAAATCTTGCACACTTGAATTATTGTACATCGTCGGATGCTAGACTTGCTGTATCCACTGCGTCATAAACAGTCAAGAAGACATCCTGCTTATGACCTACCTTGCGCCTGCGCATAACTTTGTTAACAACCATCGTCTTTAAACTTGCAGCGTGGTTTGTCTCAGGTTACTTGTATATATTTGTGTGTGAGGATTGATCTATGCTTGTTTGTATTTTGTAGATCTAGTTCCTTCCCCTCTTGGTGGGCTATGTATCTCGATATCCCCTCCCCACTTTCTGATTTTGCTCTCCATCTGATTCCCTGCTTTCTTTCAGCCTTGATTGCACTGACCACCAATTATTCTCTGCCTTAGCTTGCTTCAATCTACCACTCTTTCGGGTAGCTCTGCTAGTTAGCTCGATCGAAGCAATCACCAAAGTGATAAATCCCTCCACCAGTTTCATTCAGTTTCATTCAATCCGATTCCCCAACCCTTCCCTAGGACAAATCGATTATAAATCTCGACATGGCTCCCTCCAATCCGGCGAGTATTTCTCGGGTAAAACCTTCAGGCTTGAGCTTTGCAAGCGAAAAATTGAAACCGTTGACTCAACTAAGTTCTCCCTCAGGTGTGTCCTTCATCCCCTTCTCCCTTATTATCATTTCCCTCCATTGATTCCTCCTTCCTACTTAGCATAAGACATTCATCAACTAACAAAATAATCCCTTTGCGCCCGTAGAAGCTCTCTTTCGGTCGGACATCGCTGGCCATCCCATTGATAAGGCTCTCTCAAGTGCCCATCTCACTCAGTCCGACCATTCTCGGCGAGGCAGTATGAGTTCCCAGAGCCATCATAGCTCTAACGCCCCCCACACTCCCCTTCATCATCTTCATGGGCTACCTACCACTCAGACCAGTATGCCTAAGCTTACACTTGGAAACAGGCCGAGGTATAATGAAGGCGTCCATCATAAGGAAGTGACACCAAATGGACCTCACCCTTACGACCTTATTCTTCCTGGCGAAGAAACTCACAAGATCCCAGTTAGAACTCGAGCCTTGTCGGCAGCGACCGCGCCGGCCACTTCAGTTGCTTCAGATAATCGAAGCAAGAGTTTCCGTGTTGGAGCTCGTCGCTTCACTCAAAGTGGACATGCTTCTGTGCACTTCGATCCACTCACCAGGACAAACAATCGTTCATCTTTTCATGGTAGAAGATATTCTAATGCCGTCCGAGAGCCCTCTGCGGCTGCTGCCTCGATAACCTCCAGTAACGCCGGGGACGCATTTGAAGAAGATGATCATGCTCGAGATCCCAGGAAGCTCGCTAAGCACGATACTCAGATGCTACTCATTAGCTTCAACTCGCTTTTGGGCAGAGATGGTGGCGGTAGAGCGGTTGAAAAACTGATTGCCTTCGTACTTCGAGGCGGGTTGAGTCAAGTTTTGCAAGAGGTCACTGGTGAGTCTTTTCTATTGTGCTATTTCATCAGCAAAATTGAAATAACCAGATTAACAAACCGACCATTTACCACTGGTTTCAGGGCTGGTCAAACAAGTGCTTCAAGGCGTGTCGACTCTGCAAGCTGCATATGTTAGCGTTTACATGCATGAGATCACAGAGCAAATACAAAAGATTGGGGGGCTGCTATTTGTGGAACCTGAGTTATTATCCATGTATGTATGCAGTTTACCGCAGAATTTGGAAAACATTGTATTTGTTGCTAACAGTCATATTGGTGGTTTATTCATACAAATTAAAAGGTTTGATAGCTTCTCCAGCAGATTTCGAGCACATGCGGCGCCGAACTCGACTGGTTTGCAGTCTGTGTCTTTGAGCAACATCTGGGAGATCCTTGTTGACAAGTTTACCAACTCGCCTGTTTATCAATCTGCCCTTTTGAAACTCATCGAGACTTTCTCCAAGCTGGTCCTGTCCTCCGAACAACTGCGAGATGGCTTGTGGACCTCGTTCTCTCAAGCCTTTTCTCAAGCTCAACGCTCCCAGTCTGATCCCGCTACCGCCAATATTGCTACCTGTCTCAGTTTGCTCTTCGCGGCTGTTGAGCAACTTACCGGTTGCTCTATTAGGCCCTTTGTGAAGCACTTCATATCCTGGCTTGCGATTGTGGATGATTTACTCACCAAGTTGGCTACAGAAACGTCCGACATCTTGAATCACCCATTATCTCTTCCGATTGTTCTGCCGACTGACTACACCACTCATCCCTTTGGATACGTCTATTCGCCGACGGAATCTTGCGCAAAACTAGACGCCGTGATCCAAAAATGGCTTTCAGTCTTTGGAGAAGATCCTGTGCACCAAGATGCATTTGAGCATTTTAAGCGCTGCTTCGATAATGTTACCTCCGGGATAATGGGCAACAGCACGTTTGCTCGCTTCTCTCGTGATCTTGTTCGAGTCTGGAGGGGTATCATGGGGCATCCAAGTGAAGGAATCGCCGGCACAGGACTCGAGGGCGGTATGGAGTGCTTAAAAAACCTCGCCTCCCATTTTATCGAAATTCCAGTAGACAACCTCACCACACGACACCAAGGTTTTGATCTCACTCTCGACGGTTTTAAATTATGCGTCTTGGATGCACTTCCTTACGAGATCAGTTTTAGCACGCACTGTCGTCTGTTCCCATCTAATTGCAGTTTTCAAAATAGCACTCGATTAGAATTGAAAGACTTACAGCTTGGTTTGAAGAATGCCTGTCCAGTTCATCTAAAGGACGGTACCTCTGGTTCGAGCTGGCAAAGCACCGCAAAGATCCATACCAAGTTGAATATAAGCATCGATTTTATCCCACAGGACAACACGCTTCCCAAGATGTTAACGTCATTACCTTATTATGGAGGTTCTCTAGTCAAAGTCTCGACGTCTGATATCAGTCTATCCGGGGCCACAGACTTGAAAGTGCCCGATACATTATGGTTGGAGCTTAAAGACCAGATGCGTGGAATCCTCGAAATAGCTGTTCAAGGTTACGTCGATTCCTTTTTCAAGACCTGGTTTGCCGTACAACCAAGGGCTGCTACGGACCTTCCAGTTGAAGTACCTCCCCCCAAGTCAGCCGGCGCCCAATCTATCCATTCCATCCCGAGTTATTCACCTAAATTACTTGAGACACATGGCAATGCACGAGATCGATTCAAGGCTTCCATTCGCAATTTGACTGGGATCAAGACCGGGACTGTCTTGACTCAACTTCAAAATCCACTTTCTGGAGCCGGGTCGCCGTTGATAAGTCCTTCAGCCGAAGAAGCTCCTGGATCGAAGTCCAAACGACGCCAATCGATGGCTGATTACTTGACCGATATCTCCAAGGCAGACAGTACGCTTCCCGAAAATATCCAGCGTCCGCCTGTAGCAGAATCTCACCGTCCTAACAATAATTCAGCGAGTTTGCCAAACGTCTTTGACGAAGATGAAGAAGATGCACCTGCAGAATTTGAAACCATGGCCCGAAGCTTATCGTTCTCTACTCGTGGAGACAGCACTTGTGTCGATAAGATAATTCGCCCGCTTGTTTCTGCCAAGGCGGACGTCAATTCGGTTTTCTCACATCGCGGAGCCTTGCCGAATTTCCCCATGGTAGAAATGTCTTATGAGGCTTACCAAAGAGCGGAGGCATCCCTGGACGAAAAATCGAATACACCTACTATGGAGATCGGTGGGCAGGAGATACCTTCGATGGCTCAAAGCTTGTCTGAATTGGCCACTCGTGACACCACGACCGAAGAAGCAATCGCTCATCCTCCAGCTGTGGAGGACTCCCATCAAGGGCAGAGCTACGTAGAACCAGGCGGTAATCTGACCATGGACCAAATTACCAGGCACTTGAGTGGCTTGACTGATTTGCCTGTCCAAGACGCGGATGTTACGCCTCAACAACGGATTCTTAGACGCAATGTAACTCCACCTGGGCTACCATCCAAAATGGTAATGGCTAACGTATTGACCGACTCGGCGATGGAAGATAATACTGTAAGTAATTCATATTCTTTTGGAGTGTTTAACTTGTGCTAATTTGTTGTTCAACATGCAGCTTCCTGAAAACCAAGCCACCGGCCATCTTTCAGGCCCGGTTGATGCGGCTGGCGTTCCTACCAGCAACAATGTCACTTCTCTATCTGAGAGTGAGACTTTTGCGATGAGGAACAAACTTTCTACGATGGCCGCGACTGATATGACCCTGTCCAGCAACATCGCCTTGCCACCTGGGACTCAACACGTCTATCGAGGACCGCCGACTAACGGCTATACCGGATTGAAAGTGTTGAGATCGATGAGTACGACGTTAAACGATGCGATCGAGAAAGATTACACGACTCCGGAAGGGCAAGCAGAGCTCTATCGCACCAATCATTCTCAAGGTGATCAAGTGGTCGGATTGACTGAGAAAGAAATGAAACAAAGAAGGCAATCCTTCAAGCTTACCGAGGAAGCTATGAAAGACATGACACTGATCGAAAGTATTCGAAACCCACCAATGGTGGCCAAGTCGATACCGCCTGTGTAAACTCTTGGATCCATGTCTGATCCGCCATGTAGACTAGCTAGCTAAAACGACCGTCAGAGTGTTATAGTTTTTCTTTCTCTCTTTCCCCCTTTCATTGCCACACAGTCCAATTCACCAGTCGTATCACAGACTTCTTTTCTTTTTTACTTCAAAACAAAAACTGGTGTTTGTGAACCAAAAAAAGTATCATTTTCTCTTAACTCTTGTAAGCCTCGAAAAGTCAACTTGTGAATCATATATACAAGGACAACGATATACAAAAGATGCATCACTCTGCCAAGCCCCGAGAAAAAAGAAGAACAATGTCTCCATCATGTACTCTCCTCTCATTATCCCATCTTGTTATTTTTCTTATCTACGAATTGTTTTTTATTATTGCAAACGACCGGTGTTGAAATGAAATGCAATTGAAGGTGTTTGTATTTTTGGTTGCGCATACTAAACACTATGCTCAATTGTCAGCCATTGCATTCCATGGTATACGTGCTTGGATGGCAGATGGTTCCACTCATACTCATAGGAACTATGCCGAGTTCTTCGCCATGTACATAATACACGTCACAAGGAGGCAAGTTTCTAAATATGAAGAGCCTGAAAAGGTGCCTATCACATTCGCAAGCTTTGTTGAAGCACATGCACATTTGACCTCTCAATGACTGATCTCCTAGTTTAATTTACTGAACCAAATGACAGATTAATTATACATAAATCTATAAATCCATCTGGTAAGGATTTTTTTTCTTTGGTCTGTTTACTTGTTGTGTGACTGAAAATAAGAAAAAATGAAAAGAAAGACACGATGGATATTTCCAAACGAGGTTAATCATATCCAAAATATAAGATAAGATCTCATAAGACCAGAGTTAAGATGAAGAAACAAGACAAGTGTTATGGTATTGAATACAAAGTATAAAAAATAAAGTAAACAAACTGGAAGAAAAGTAAGAACAAGTCTGTTATGGTTTTTTTAGCTGACGGTGATGATCCCACTCGTCGTATTATTATTATTGTTGTTGTTGTTGGAGGTTTCTTCGGCTGTCTCGCGATTATGTTCTTCGATACAGTTGATTTCGGCGGTATTGACCCAACGAGAAGTATACCCCACTGGAAAAACAAACAAACCCAATTTTTTTATTTTGCAGTTTGGTAAAGAAGAAAAGAAAACAGTTAAGTAATTTGATTTTTTTTTTTGAATAAAAAGAAAGGGGATTTTTTTTCTTTAGATGAAAAAAAAGGAACTCAACTTTTCCAAATCCGAACTTTACCATCCGAGCCACTAGTGCTCAACACGGTACCGGTGACGTTCCAATCGCACTTACCGACCCCAGCATCAGCCGCAGCCGCAGCCAGAGTGGAGCTGGCGGAATTTCTGTTTGGTAGTTGATGGGGGAGGGAGTCTTTTGGGAGATGGATGTGATCTTCGAGTTCGGTATCGAGGGCGAAGGACCATTGGGAGGAAGGCGGAGGGGCGGGGACGAGTTTCCAGATGCGTGCGCGACCGTCGCGATGGCCAGCGGCGATCAGATGATAGTCGCGTCCACAAGGTGGGGCCCATGCCAGACTAGAGATCGGACTTGAAGATCCTCCTGCTCCTCCAGTCGTCGTCGTTCCAGTAGTTTGTCGTGGATTATGGTTGTGATTGGGATTGGTGGGGTTATCTGGACCGGTTGAGGATTTGGAATGACTGAGTGGACTCAAGAGGCCGAAGTTTTCCCATTGGGAGTGGGCGGAGAATTTGAATAGTCTGATGGCCCCCGAAGCCCCAGCGGAAACGGCCAAGATATCCCCCCAGTAGCTTTCGGGACACCAGCTGAGTGCCCATCCGCCAAAGGACTCGATATGCTGTTCGGAGGATGGGAGGCTGTTGTTGTTGTTATTGATCGATGAGCCTTGGTTGAAAGGCGATGAATGATTGGCGGTGGTTGAGGATCTGAGCCCGGATAAGGGGTTGATCAGGTTGAAGTTGGTGGACGAGTTATTCTTTGGGTTATTGAGACTGACGGTAGGATCGAAGCCACGGACGGAGGTGAAGGAGGAATGCTGTTGGAAGCCTGTGGCAGCCGGGCCGCCGGTGCCAGTGCTCGATCCGGGGATCGTGGCCAGGGTGGGGTTCAGATGGTCGGTGGAGTTGGTGGGATGGCTCGGCAGGACGGAGAGGTCGATGTTGATGACCAGGTTCCAGTTGTCGCTCGAGAAGGAGTTCGTCTCTAGACATTCGTACACCCGCAGATGGTGGTCGGTCGAGATCGATGCTAGTCGAAGACTCGTTTCTGATGGACTGAACCCAATGTCGCGGATCGTTCGGTTGGAGTCTGCTAGGATCGTCTGCTGATACCATCCTCCAGCTGATAAACCTGAGTTTTGTTTCTTATTTTTATTTGATTTGTTGGTTCCCGTTCGATTTTCATTCCCATTAGAATGATCGAGCCTTCTAGTATCTAGTTATGACAAGAAGAACGCGTTTTCAGTCAGCTTTCGTGTTTTGCGAGATAAACTGTTTTTATACGGACCTTCTTCCCAGATCCGGACCGTTCCATCAGTTCCAGCAGAAGCGAGTATCTCGCCATGGATAGGATCTGACCAGATGACCTTGATGACCGGGCCATCGTGGGCAGTCCAAGCTTGGATCGAGGGTGTCTTCCGCTGAGAGTGTTGGGGATTGTTTGTAGGTTCGGCAGTCGATTGGCCTGGTTGTTGTTCCTGGCTTTGGTCTTCAGGCCACTTCCCAGTCTCCAAGTCGGATGAGAGGATGTAGAGATGGTGGTCGAGTGAGGAGACGGCCAGTCGAGTGCCGTAGTAGTTGAACGAGAAGGAGCTGATCAGGTCCTTGTTGGGCAGTGCGAGGAAGTGGGTCTGGGCCATCGTGGTGTGTGTATGGTGTGGTGTGGTGTGGTGTGGTGAGTGAGTGAGTTGAGTGTGGCTGCTGGGGCTAGGATATTCTTTAAAGAGCTAAAATCGGATATTCATCTGACTGAAACATACAACTCACCCTTCCCCAGCCACAGAGCTTCAACCATGCCTTCCAACGATACCCTCAACAATAATTCCATGGCGAACGTACCCTCGAGCTCAGTATTCAAGGTGAGTCTGAATCACACACTGATTCGAATCGATGGACATTGCTAACGAACTCGTTGGCAACAAACATGTAGGATGATATATTCCGAGGAAAGGTGCTCTTCTGTACCGGTGGCGGCACCGGAATATGCCAAAAGATGGTCGAGGCAGTCATGCGACGTAGGTCGATTCAATTTCCAAGACACTAGAAATCCTGACTTTTGGCATCAGTAACAGATGATACTAACATTTATCATACAACAGATGGTGCATCGGCCTTCATTTTCGGTCGCAGAGAGAACGTGCTACACGCGACTTCCTCAGACCTTTCGAGACATACCCTCCAGAGATGTTCATACGCCTCGGGTGACGTTCGGTCGATCGAATCTCTCGAAAGAGCCGTCGCCAAATGCATCAGTGAATACGGAAGAATCGATTTTGTTATCGCTGGTGCAGCCGGTAACTTCCTATGTCCTATCGATCAGCTCAGCCCCAATGCCTTCAAATCGGTGGTCGAGATCGACTTGGTGCGCTGTTTCATTGGTTGATCATATTATACTGCACGGCGGCCGAAATTTCTGACTACATTTTTCCTTTCTTTTTTTTTGGCCGTATCGTCACACACGCTTCAGTTGGGAACTTGTAAGCCCAACTATGGTCATGCTTCCTATCTGCGACTTGATATGCTGATGAAAAGCGTGATCCACAGACAACACTATCAAGGCGACCTTACCCCATCTGAAGAAAACCAAGGGCTCGTTTATCAGCGTCTCTGCTACCTTGCATTACTTTGGTCAGTCCGTCAGATTCATTCTCAACATTTCTTGACTGTACACCGACTGAATACGTATGGAAATCTCAGGTACTCCCCTCCAAGCACATGTCTCTTCGGCAAAAGCTGGAGTGGATGCTTTGTCGCAATCTGTCGCAGTCGAATTCGGCCCTCATGGGATTCGCTCTAACGTCATTGCTCCAGGTTAGTTTTATGTTCCCTCTGCACACATACATACATACATTCAAGCCGCATCCTCTGAGCTTTTTCCTGTTCATTCCTCTTCTTCTTCTCGTCACTTAATAGGGCCTATCGGCGATACCGAAGGCATGTCTCGTCTGAGCACACCTGAATCGCAAAAAACCATCTTGAAAAATATCCCCTTGCAGCGCTTCGGCACCCGAGGTAAACAGAAAAAAAAAACATAACCAGACTTCCTATGCCACTAAGTTATACTGACTGACTTCCTCCTATTGTTATTCCTAACAAAAAAAAACGGACCAAAAAATAAATAAATTATTAGGTGACATTGCCAACGCAGCAGTGTTCCTGTTTTCGCCAGCCGCTTCCTACATCACCGGCACGATTCTGAGTGAGTAGAGATGATGTTTTGAATCCAGATCACATACGCTGATGACAATGTTTCCTCCTGTCTATGCATATTTTCAGTCTGTGATGGAGGTGAACATCACACACGACCCTCAACTTCATTCGATGCATATCGACAAACAAATGAAGGCGGCAACAAACCCAGAAAGCCGAATAGCAAGCTTTAACAGGTGCACTTAGTTTGCCTCTCAACACGTGTGTTGTATACACCTATAATCCGATGGAACTCAGACCTCTATAAGCACTGGGCTGACTGGTTTCCGAAGTCTGGTGAACAAAACTTGAATTCTATTTCCGGGATTTGATTCCACCTACTATTATAAGATTGACTGCTGTAGTATAATGTCCCAAACCAATCCCACTTGTTTTAAACTGCTGTATACCATTACACATGTGATATCATACCAACCCATATTTCGTTTGCGCTTGTCCACTTGACCCCATCATGAAGACTACAGACATTAATGGGTCCATGGTCCAACAAAAAAAACAAAGAACTGGACGCCCGCCAGGCAGAACAAGCTCAAGCCAACGGGAACTTGGGCAGGATTACTTGGGTCTATTAATTATACGGGTCGAGCTTCCTGTTAAACCATGCTTCTGGAGGAGAATAATTCATTCTTCCTTCATCTCATCTCTCCTCTTTCTCTTCATCTCCATCTTGAAAGTAAACCAGATCTTCAGGAAAATGCGAAAATCCGCAAAAACAATTTAGCATATACTTGTTGCCGCAGGGCCACGTCACTTCATTAACGCCGGCGCCCCAATCCTGACTTTTCGCGTTGTATGTATCTTGACAGTTGTGGCGTTGCATGCCCATTGCCTTTGCTCAGTCCCGAGTCACGGTAATTGGCACATACATAGCAGCTTGATTATTTAGCCCCATCCCTTTAAACACACCTTGAAACTGCAAGAAATATCGAAACGAAACACTCATGAACAACGGTTCGATTCCGGGGATGTTAATTCGGGTTACATTCATACACAGATTTATGTTCGCGCAATTTCAGGAAGCACCGATGACCTCAGGCTCCGCACCCTCCGTTGACGACGCCACTTTACCAGTTTAAACGAGAGCTTGTATGTAGTCCCGACTCTTCTTCGCGTTGATCGTGTCATTTGTGGCGCCGCAGACACCCAGGCCCGACTGACTGCAAGTGGTATCGGTTTTATCTTAGCAATCATGTGCCATTCAAACATACCTTGAAACTGCAAGAAATATCCAAACGAAACCGTCCCGGGCTCCCGATTAACGGATTAATTCCGCCCCCGGGGTGGTTGATGGAGGTTGCGGATCGCCCTATATTTAGGTACACGCAGATCTATGCCCACCTAATTTCAGGACGAGTTGATGGGGTTTCAACTCTCAAGTGACAAGGCAAGGATCGTTATCTTCAACCAGCTACCATTCCAGATTAATTTAATTTTTCGAAGAGTGCATGAGTGTAGATAGCAGCCTCTGACTGAAGACTTGTGTTGAGGCGCTCACGCTCCGCTTGAATATTTTTTGTTCCTTGCTCAAACTTGCTTGCTAACTACTCGTCAATCTATGTACGCCAAGAAGAGCACATTTTTTCAATTGTTTCGAGTGTCAACTCTAGCCATTATTCATTCCGCTATTGGGGCGATCTTCACCTCACCGGTCTTCGACGACATTACCACTTTGAAACGGATTTCATCCAAATGGAAACTCACTTCAACTCAATCTGAAGAGACCACAGGCTTTGGAAAACAATTTCTGGACGAACATGGCGAGCTTTGCTTCCTTTACAACACCCACGTACAATTGACGGCGCGGGTAGTTGATATATATCCTAGGCAAGACGTAATACCCACCCGCGAGGATCTCGAGAAACAGATTGATCGACCAAATCAGCCACATCAAAATCCACCGGTTTTTTCTCTGCCGGCCTTGCAGGTTTTTAATCCAATTAGGGGAAGTGTTGTGCAACTAGCTATAATTGATATGAAGAACGGCATGAAAATTGAGGACCAAAAGATTCGGGGCACCTTGCCAGCCAAATATTACGAACTACCAGAGGGATACGATCCACGTAGAATCCTGTTTTCTGTCGATGCAATTACCGATCATTGTTTGGGAAGTCTTATGAAATCGCAACCGACCAAGCCTGAATTCCCGTCTCACTCAAGTTTGCTCACTTCGGACACCATTGGATTTGATGAAAACGCGCCAGATTCAATAATACAGCACTTCAACATTTTCGGATTGATTTGGAATTGCGGATGGTCTTGGATTAAAAAAACCATGGACTTCATTAATTCCCCAGCTTCACCTGATGCTTAATTATTTTGTGCTATAGTGAAGACAAATAGATTCAAAAGCAGATATTAATATCCAGAAAATTAACTTTCTTCTTCACAACATTAAAAAAAAGTTCTGTATGTCCCTCGCACTTCCATCGGTCAAGCGCAAGGCTGGCCGGTGCAAAAAAATTGGTATCGGAGGATGAAAGGGACCTGGGGGAACTGACCGTTGCAAGATCAGGAATGATAACTTCTATGATACCATCCTCATTGGTGGCATTTGGGCCTTGAGCCTAATAGATACCCTGGATACTAGAATTTTTCTTGAACTTGAAGCTGGATGATAAGCAGAAGCTGTCCCTACTGTCCAAGTAGACCAACACTGTGCCGACCAAAAATCAGAAATTGAGCGGAATGGGAATGGGGCCACTTACATGTGTATACAAACCGAAAGTAGAAGGTCAAACTATACTCATTCATTTCTAGCCAGTTGTGGCACAATTGTGGTAATCATGATTGTTTCATGCTTTCTCCAGGGGCATCCTAGGACAGTTCCAGTTGAGGCTGTCCCGAGGATTTTCTCATCAACCGGAGCCATTTAGGATTTTAGATATGAGGTGGATATTGCAGAAATGAGCAAACAGTTCATAAAATGAGAGGAGACTATTCACCGTAGCAATTCAACATTGTAGATATGAGGTGGGAGTTGGAGAAATGAACAAATGGTAAAAGGAGAGGAGGATATGCGATAGGAAAAAACCGTGCCTCGTCAGAGTCAACTGCTCTTGAACAAATTGAGGCCTGGAGGGATTCTAATTGGGGCGGTGAGGATTGGAGTGTTATCAAAACTGAGCGCGCATGGGGCCGAATAACTTTGTGCGACATTGAAAAGAAAGAAAAGGACAGTCTACATAGAATTGTTTTTGTTCTTCTCTTCGCATTTGGTTGGATCCAAAGGTCCTTCCTGCTCGAGCGCGAATTCAGCTGTGATATTCTCCAGTCAGTTTGAACTGGACCTGCCCCCTCCGCAACCTTCGACTTTGGTACATGGTCGACTCCATGGCTGGACCTGAAGTGAGCATTTGTTGCCCGGTCGGCAATTCTTCTTCAGTTCACTTGCAACGGGGCGTCCGATGGCTACGACGATGACCAAGAGGAGGGCCAGTCGAGAACAGGTCCAATGGAATTTGTACATATTGATAATGCTAGAAGAGTAAGGTGTTGGTCAGGCCAGTAGATTTTTGAAGGTGAAGATTGATAGAAAGTTTGTTAGTGCTAAAGCAAGCGCTGAGACTCGAGAGGAAGAATTGATTCACCAAGTTAGGCTGTTGGTGATTTACGGTGCGATTTAAAACCTATGTTTCCCAGTGAACCTGGGTTCCTGGTGCCGCAACTATCCCTGCAAAGCAGGGCTGGTCTGCCGAAGGCTTGGGCCGAAGGCCCCCATCCCTTTGTGACATGTAATTTCGGCCGAAGGCCGCTGGCAGCGAAGCTGCCAGTATTCGCTGCCAGTAGCCATTCGACTAGGATGAGGTTGCTACTCATGCAGTCATTCCATTTAATTTAGCCCAAAATATTGATTAGCCTCTCAAGCCAGCTTTTTGCAATCGACTTCATCATCAGAGTTTGCCACTCATCCGAATTTATCATGCAATGGCAAGAGTTGAGGTTTGTTAGGCTGCCATGCCAGTAAATACATTAGGTCACCGATGCTGATTTGTGCTGTCAAATCAGTTCAATCGATGGGGGGACATTCCACCAAATGGAACTGAAGGGCTTCCTTTATACCAGTTGAAGTCCACCTAGGCATCGTTCCTGGTGTGTCGCAACCAGTCTGCTCACAAGTTCTCGAAATCCCTGTCTGATTTCCCCAGCCCACCAGGCAGGATAACCAATGTCGCGATGTACCCTATGCTCATCTCGCTCCGATGCTACTGATCATCCGCATCAACATGGCAACAAGGAGGTCCCACCTCATCAATTCTGGAAACCCGATCGATGTCAGATTTCTCGCATTTATGATCAGCGAATCAAGATCATTTGATCTACCCATTCCACCGCTGGTGCAGGATGACACACATCCCCCTGATAAATTCATCTCAGTCAATGTCAACACACGGCCGTCCTTAGTCTCCTCCACAACCACGATCTGGAGTTGCTCACAACAATCAATGTTGTCAACTTTGACATTCTCAGGCAGTACCAACAGACCAACAATAGGTAATTCATGGCAAGTAGCATCACTCATTTGAATCTCATGTTATCATTTGGGAATAAATCTCCTTGCAAGATGAGCTCACTGCACTGGTAGCATGTCGTGATGCTTTCATTATGTGTGCAAAAATCATTGCCTACAGAACAACAACAAAAAAAACTTCACCTTGGGAGAATTCCCAATTCTATCAATGGCTATTGTCAACAGGCAACAGCAATAATCAGCAAGAATTTTCTGCTGCAGTGTCATTAAAAAAGATGAATGTCGACAGGCAAACACATGAGTATGCACTCAATTTTTCAACTCATCCAAAGTCCAACTAATGCTCACGGCATCCCATCTATCAATACAGAATTATGCACATGCCAAAATCAAATGCATGTATCACAAATATTATGACAATAATTTGAATCAGCAGTAAGGTATTTCTCTTTTTTTCATTCTCAGTGTGTTCATAAAATGCAAAGGAAGAATTGTAACAGCACTGTAAGTGCTTCTATTATCATTTTTAAAAGTAACCATATTCTTGAGTTACCCGCGGCGCCCACGCCGCGGTTTTTCACTAGTGTGAAGCAGCAATTGTCCTGAGCGACTTGGATGTTAGAATACTAACTGGTGGACGATGTGGCAGAGAAGGCTTGTGAGTGATGGAATAATTGGGTGGTTTGGAAGCGCCTTCTGGCACGAGAAGCAGCTTTTATGTATGCATGTGTGCCGAAAGGAATCCGGCAACAACACATATAAAGCGATAAGCAAATCCACGATGACAGCGAAAATCCCAATTCTCCATAGCAGATCACCAATCGAATGTGAGCGCTTGCTTTACCTCCTTTTGGAGATGAGCCCTGAGTATGCAGATTGCATCCCACAGAAGCGGGAGACAATCTCCGATCTCTCAAGCTCAACACCTCAATCACAAGGCGCGGTATTTGAAACAGCACACGAGATAACCTGAAAAGGGGGAACCTCCGTAGTTTCCACAATGACCGGAAACACAAAAAAATGCTATCACATATTTGCCTCCATTTGACCACTTTGGGATATGAAGATGAGCATTGTGAATATCCATGGCAGGTCCCACTCCAACATTTCCAACATTTTGGGTTGACACACTGTCCCCGGCGAACTTATCGCAAGTCTCAGGCTGCGGGGGGCGCATCTGGCAGCGTAGCGCTGGCTAGGCGGTTCCCGAAGGGAACTCCCCGCAGGGGAGACTTGGGCCAGAGGTCGACAAACTCAGGTGCTGAGTTTCTGGTGTTTTGGTGGGAGCGTCACAAGATTTGAAATCATGACGCTCCCTCAAAACTTTTTTGATGTTTGGTCTCGGATTTTTACAGACCTGCCTGATCTTATTGATCAGGCCAAATTTCAAAATTTTAAAATCACAAAAGTAATTAATATTGATTTTCTAAAATCAACGTTTGAACTTTTTTTACGCTCACATAAGCAGCTTGATGAACTCGCGCTCACCAAAAAAACTCAACTTTTGTTGAAAAGTTGTCATTTTCAAAAATAACTATATCAAAACTGACAAAATTACAAACTAATGTGAGCAGAGGGAAACATTTACAAGAAGCAGACCCTCCTTGGTCCACAAGGAAATTAGATAATAGTGGAAGAGGAAGAGCGTAGGCAGAAAAATGCACAAAAAACTGGCTTTTAAGCCCAAATTTGAAAACTCAGCACGCAGGGATTGCCGCATCTGTCTTAGGCCTCCACTGGCGTGGACAGCTCCGCTGCTCGCTCCCGCTCCCGCCGTGGAGGCCTAGTTAGGCTTGTGTCCCCGGGCAAAGCAACACTTGAGATTTACTCAAGTCCACTTTCTGCAAGGGAGAGGAATTGATTCATATTCAGCTCAATGACCAGAGTTCTTCCCCTAGTGCCCCATTCACCCCACCAAATTTATTTCTTGTTTCCCGCTGCATCAGCATTGGCCCAGAGCCACCTTTATCACTAGTGAAAAAACCGCGGCGTGGGTGCCGCGGGTAACTTAAGGATACTAGTGAAAAAACCGCGGCGTGGGCGCCGCGGGTAACTTAAGAATATGGTTACTTTGAAAAATGATAAAGAAGCACTTACAGTGCTGTTACAATTCTTCCTTTGCATTTTATGAACACACTGAGAATGAAAAAAAGAGAAATAACTTACTGCTGATTCGAAGTATTGTCATGAGATTCGTGATACAGGAATTTGATTTTGGCATGTGCATAATTCTGTATTGATAGATGGGATGCCGTGAGCATTAGTTGGACTTTGGATGAGTTGAAAAATTGAGTGCATACTCATGTGCTTGTTTGTCGACATTCATCTTTTTTAATGACACTGCAGCAGAAAATTCTTGCTGATTACTGCTGTTGCCTGTTGACAATAGCCATTGATAAAATTGGGAATTCTCCCAAGATGATGTTTTTTTTGTTGTTGTTCTGTAGTCAAAGATTTCTGTACACATAATGAAAACATCACAACATGCTACCTGTGCAGTGAGCTTATCTTGGAAGGAGAATTCTTCCCATATGAATCTGATAAATTGAGATTCAAATGAGTGATGCTACTTGCCATGAAATATCTGTTGTTGGTCTGCTGTAACTGCCTGAGAATGTCAAGGTTGAAAACATCGAGTGTTGTGAGCAAGTCCAGATTGAGGTTGTGGAGGAAGATAGGGACCGCCATGTGTTGTCATTGACTGAGATGAGTTGATCAGGGGATGTGTGTCATCCTGCGCCAGCGGTGGGATGGGTAGATCAAATGGTGTTGATTTACTGATCATAAATGCGTGAAATATATTGAATGTTGGACTGAATGAGCAATGACATTGCTTGGGTTTCCTGAATTGATGAGGTGGGACCTCCGTGTTGCCATGTTGATGCGGATGATCAGTAGCATTGGATCGAGATGAGCATAGGGTACCACGCGACGTTGGTTATGCTGCCTGGTGGGCTCCGCAATCCTTGCGAGCAGACTGGAACGCTGCCTAGGTGGACTTCAACAGGTATAAAAAGAAGCGACTATGGCATTCCCTCCCATTGCTACTGATTTGACGGCACAAATCAGCATCGGCGACCTAGCCTATTTACTGGCATGGCAGCCTAACAAACGTTAAATTCTTGCAATGGCATGATGGATTCAGATGAGTGGCAACCTCTGATGATGAAGTCAATTGCGAAAAGCTTGGCTTGAAAGCCTGAATAATGGTCTTAATGTGCTAAATTATTTGGAATGACTGGATGAGTAGCAAGCTCATCCTAGTCGCATGGCTCCTGGCAGCTTCGCTGCCAGCAGCCTTCGGCCGAAATTACATGTCACAAAGGTGTGGGGGCCTTCGGCAGAACTGCCCTGCTTCGCAGGGAATGTTGAGGCACCAGGAACCCAGGTTCACTGGGAAACATAGGTTTTAAATACATTTTTGAATTAGTTTATTAGATTGATTGCTCCTACCTTTTGACTTATTCTTGCCGCTTCTTGTCAATCCAACCCAATCCCTGCACTGTTGTGCTTGTTTGTTGTAATTCAACCCCCAGCAACCTCAATAAATCTCAACTATTTTTGTCCCAGTCCATTTGATCTTCATCATGCCCCAGAACAACTCCCTTCTACAATTGAACAATTTCTCTTACCCGCTTGTCAAAATATCCAATCTCATTCCCCCTCCTTTAACACAAGAAATTCCATCCTCCAATGGCATTTGCTTCCCTCCAAATGCCCTCAGACTTGTCCACCAGGTTGATGGGATTAATCATGTCTTAAAGTGGGGGAAATAAATTTAAAATGTCAAAAAAGAATGAAAAGTAAGCTCTTAAAAATCAATTGAAAATTATGACTAGTTACAGTATTCAGCATGAACGGTTGGTTTTTATGGAAATTGGATTATGCCATTAAATTCTACATGTATCAAAACCTAAGAAATAAATTTAAAATTTCAAAAAATCTTAAAAAATAAGGTAACAAAATTAATGCAAACAATTGAGTGAAAAAGTGAAGAATTAAATAAAAAAAAACAGTGTCAAATGCAGTATTCAAGATGTAGTTTTCATTTTGATGCAAAATTATTGTTAACATCATTTTGACCATGTCTTAAAGTGTGGGAAATAAATTTGAAATGTCAAAAAAGAATGAAAATTAAGCTATAAAAATTTAAGTAGAAAAATGGGTGTAATTTGAGTATTAAAAGTGAACCGTTGAGTTTTAAAAAAACTGGATTGCATCATTAAATTCTACGCACATTAAAACCTAGGAAATAAATTTAAAATTTCAAAAAAACATAAAAAATAAGGTACATACATGTATGCAAACAATTAATTGAGAAATGAGTGAAAAAAAATAATTAATAATCAAAATTCATTTTTATGGAAAATGGTTTTTACCATTAAATTCTACACCTTTTAAAGTGTAGGAAACAACTTTAAAAATTCAAAAAAACTTGAAAAATAAGTGGTAAAAAATTATATACAAAACCGTGTTTAAACGCGGAAACCGCGTGCGCTGTGCCGCAGCAAAACCACGTGTAAACGCGGAAAAACTGGGTTTTTTTTATTAAGGCCCTATTGCATTTGATGTGTTTTTTTAATTAATTCTTACACACTTAATTATCCTTATTTTTTGGAATCTTAAGTTCATTTCCTACATTGGGGGGTTTCAAAGTTCCCCCAGGTGGCAATTCAGGAGCAAGTTTCAGGAAAAAAAAACATCCTGATTTTTTTCCTGAACCACACATTTCCTGATCCAAGTAGGGATGCAGAAGGCATATACCTGAAGCAGGAAACTTCTCATCGTGACAAACCCCGAAGCAATCGACCGTCTCCCGTACGGCGCTATTCACTACACATCCTGTTTTTCTTCCTTACCCACCCGTGGCCACCATCTTCCTCCCCAACACCCTCGAACATCTAAGACATGCCGCCAAGAAAAAAGAAGAATCCCCCAGCACCTACACCTACGCCTACACCTGCTCAATCAAGACCTGCAGCGCCAAAGAGGAAGCAACCGGTCAGTTGGGAAAAGGACGGTGTCGATGGATTTTCTAGCATCCGAATTTTGATTGAATGGCTTACCTCGGATGGCAACTTCAAACGCTGGCGGGGCAAGAAAGGGAACGGCTTGAACAAAGAGGCCTTGGCCTCGGAGGTCGTTGCATTAATGGTCAGCCACGGGATCCATCATCGGAACAACAAAGACATACGCACCAAGATCCAGGAACTTCAAGACAACTACAGTTCAGCATGCAATTGGCTTCGCAACACCGGGTCCGGTGTCCTAGATGAAGACATCGCAAATGGAACTGATAACGTGCGAGGTTAGTCAAACTATGTTGATCAATCAGTTTTCATTGGAACAGTACCAATGTTGACCGACTATTCTGTGTAGCTGCTGTCATTAAGAGGTGTAAGTACTTCTACGACTTGGATGAAGTCATGCGCGAGCGAACCTGCGCTATCCCCGAGGACATTGTCGATACCACTTCGGGTGACGTCCCAGATATAATCAATCCTCCATCAGAGGGGCCCGAGGGGGTCTTGGATCCCTTGATAGATTCAATTGGTGAGGGAAACAAAGGTAGTGATCAAGACGGTTCGGTGGCGGATTCTGGCACCGCGGCCAAGTCAAACACCAAGGCTCCGTTCAAATCAAAAAAACCGAAAAAATGTAAATTTCCATGGACTTGCAGTTGAGAGACCCAATATTTGCTAACAGAGGCCTCTATGATTATTTGACTGTAGCAACCTTACCGGCGGGCTTGGAAAAGGCAATCCAGGACACATCCGATTACCGAGTCAAATGTCTTCAGTCAAAAGAACGCCGGGATGCAAAGCGATTGAAATTGGAACGGTGTCGTATCCGAATTGAAGAAAGCGATGCTCAGGTTCGCCGGGTCCTAGCAGAGGCGGAGCAGGCAAAGTTGCGTATCTCGTGCATGAAGGAACTCAAGGAGTCTGGCTTTGGAGATGAAGATATATCCAAATTTCTTCAACAGCAATTTGGTCAAGGTCCGAGTCACCAATCTGACAGCGAGAGCAGTGATGATGTAGATACAGATTAGACCCACCCTTCTTAGCTGCCCGAGCCATCCTCTTGAGTCTCTGCCTCAGTAATCATATGCCACTGTGCCTGATTTGTCATCTAGTATTTCACTTCATGAATAGTTGAATGTGTACACACTCTCCCTCCCTACTGTCTCGCAATGTTTTTTGCCTGGTTGGGCAAAAAACAGTAGGGGGACCAGATTATGCCAGTGTCAAAAATAAGATCTCCTGTTCAAGACCCTTGGTTTGTCTTTTCAAGCATTCCGATGTGTGGATTCTTATCACTCGGGTTTCACACCTGTATTGAGCTGTATTCAAAGACGTCGGGATCAGGTTGATTTTGCCTATGTGGTCAGCTTGGAGGTTTGCTCTCATCCCCTCTTGACCGTTCCAAGAACTCCGGCCATGCTAACCGACCCCAAGTTACTACTCCATCTTTCTTTCAAGTTTGGTGAGCGAAAGCGAAAAAAAAACAAGGACGTGGCAAACAAGAAACGATGCAAGCCCAAAGATCAAAAATCGGATGAAAAACCTAATGACCGTGGGGGGAAATCCATGGGGACGAGCAAGGCTGTCAGAAGCAAGACAAATGCACATTCCAAGCCTTCATCAACTGCTCATCAGAAGATCGAGTCTCAGCCACCATCCGAAGTCCTCAGGACCCCCATGAAGACTGGTCCCCCTGATGCTGATGCCACCAGATTGTCCAGTCCAAGCCCACAGACCCAAGGACCCCTGATTGATGTGTTGGACCTCTTCAGATTGCATACCAAGCAAATGGAGGAAAGGGGTTTAGCCATCCCCCTCGATCCAGCCTTGGAACATCTCACCGCTGAAAATCTTTTCAGTGAACCTGCGATTGAAGATGGGGATCACTTGCCCAAGATCAACCCAGGTATTGTGATTCACAGGCTCACATGTGATTCTACTACAGCTGACACTGACATTACTTATTTACAGAATTGCTGTGCTGCTTCTGTGACGAGCTACTACCAGCAAGTCCTTCAGCCAGGTTTTTGAAGCTGAGCTCTTATCTTCAAGGGGTCTCTGAGGTTAAGCGTCAGGTCTCGGCCACCAACCGACTGGCTTTGCACTTACCAGTGAGTCACCTGGTTTGAATCTGACTTTTTGTTTTTTGATGCTGACCAGTCCATTCATCTTGGCAGTTCCCCCGGATTGCAGATCACTGCCGTCTGCATCAGGCAGATTCCAGTACAATCCCAATGGGTCAAAATCGTGGCTGGCCGACTCAAATTGAGTTTTCAATCCTCCCAAGGTGTGTTTTCCTGTACAACTGTGGCCTTGTGCAGACTTGCTGATAGGCTCAAATGGAAAATGCAGCAGAGTCAGATCTCACCGACAGCGTCTGACAAATGTATGTGATCGCCAAATCCCATCGGATTTTCTCCGGGACGCATTGGAGGCCTGGGAGACTCATGGGGGACGGAAGGTCCAAAGTGTATCACATGAGTACTCAAGTTTTCAGATAGAACAACCGGGGTAGTAAGTGATGCATGACCAACAACTGTATTGATGCATGTGGCTCTGCTCTAAACTAATGACATTACCCAATTATGAACAGCTACGGTGTTCAAGGATACAAGATCATTTTGAAAGAACTCCGATCAATGTTTATGAGATCAGCCATCCAATTGGCACACCCACTTGATAATGATTTCCTATTGCGGAAAGTACTCATACCAGAGGTGGCCATGTGTTTAATTGCTGAGGACTACAACTTACCAGTCCTGGACCCAAGGGTCAGATTACATTTAGAAGACAGCTGATCTTTTGGCTCAGTTGTATTTCCTGACTCAGATGATGAATAGCCAAAAGCACATAGAACAACTGTTTTTCTCCACACCCCTCATGAATTAACAACTTATTAAAAAAGGATAGTCGATGAATTCACATGATTACATGCATGATTGAGAAATGGAAGAAGGAGACATATCAGACTATTCTCATCATCCATCAGTCATGAAACTCAAGCACCTGGGACATAATCTTATCTCGCTGCATCCGACCAGCCAGAGTGGAGCGCTGAAGATTTTTGTCTCGATTGAAGCGGTCTTCATCTTGGTCATTTTCTGTACCTGCATCATCAAACTCGAATTCGTCTCCTTGAATGAGGAAGTTATGGAGTACCGCGCATGCCTGACCAAAAAATTCTAAGTTGAGCAAATAAACATACAAACATCCAGTCACAAAGGGATTATTCACCTGGATCCAAGCATTAACTCGGATTTGATCATTCCTGCCATCGATCCGCAGGCGAAGTCCCTTTAAGCTCTGGAATCTTGCTTTCAGGGCCCCAATGCAATGCTCGACTAGAACCCTGTGTCGCGCGAGGTAGTAGTTGAACGAGACCTGATCATCGGTCAGCTTTCCATGTGGTGGTCGTTTGAAAGCGGCGACGATCGTGGGTGTTGTAACAAAGGCTGAATCGGCTAGTAAGTATTCGCCAGGAGAAAAGAACTGCTTGGGCTCCAAAGCAAGCCGGGAGTTTCCCATCACGCGTTGGTCGTGCGAACAGCCCGGCCATCCAGTATAGAGGAAATTAATGTTACGGTTGGAATCACAGGCGATTAGAGTTGTAATGCCATATGACCCCTTGCGCGAGTAGAAATCAGACCCATTCTTGCTAGGGCATTCAGCAAGGGGTATGAGAACCCCATCGATCAACCCTACACAGCCGTCAAATCCCACCTCGGCATAGTCGGCTTTGATTTCCTTGCGATCTTCTGGGCTAGGCCACTGGATGATCTGAGTCTTGATTCGTAAGATTGCCATTATACAGCGGTTAGTATATAGCTCAACAGTCCCCTCGCCCACTCCGAAAAATCTGGCAAGCATCCCTACCGATGCCCCGTTACCAAAACACCCCAGTCGCTTCAGCGCGACCATCAATTGTTCTTCGATAGGACGTTGGGGGTTGTGCGAGTTGTTCTGGAACACCGTATCGTTGCGAATCCGAGCGCAGAGCTTTGTAAAAGCTAATCGGGTCATCCGGAACTCCTGTTTGAATCGACTGGCCTCTAGTTTGTTCATGAGGTAGTCGTGAATGGCAGGCGGTTGCTTGAGGGTCTGTCGAGGTCCGAAATATCGTTCGGAGCAGATCACATGAAGCCAGATGAGCAGATCGTCAATTTCTTCCCTGTCCATATCATACTCATCCTTGTCTGAACTACTGTCCTCCGACCCAGAGCTGATGTCCTTTTCCAGTCCTAAGATTCCTTGTATCGCCATCACGGTCATCTTGGATTCCAAAGCGGCCTCGAGTGCCTTGATACAAGCTTTCCTTTGAGAAAATCGAACCATGCCTGTGTTTCGATGAGTAAATTGGGATGAGTTGCAAACCGTTGATTTTCCAATTTGGATTGCACTGACTGGGACTCACCCGTCGCCGGTGTGGTATACCTTAAGGGTAGCCATCTGGCCCATTTAAAAATTTTACAGTTTTTTTTCTTTTATTACAAACTACATACCTTTTACACCTTTTTTCTCATATATACACTCACAAATCACTCCATATGGCTCAAGAACTGGATTCTACGGTCAATTTCACCCTTGGTCACCACTGGAGGCGTCACTGGAACTCAACTGGATTGGAAGCTACACCCTCTGGACCATTACCACACTCAATTACACAACTCACCACCATGGCAACACTTCAACACTCAACAACAACAACAAATTACATCATTCACACTACACACATGCACGTTCCAGGACAACTACATACTCACATCATTATAGTACAGGTATACACACCACTCCACTATCTTCTGACAGTTGACACATGCAGTGTTGGTCTGGTACCACTCTGGATTTACAAGTGACATCATGCAGGTTGTCATGTCATTTGTTAATCTTCCTTGCAGCTGTCAGACTATCTCACACCACTCATGTAATACTCATCACCTCACCTTAGCTTGCAGACTAGTACATCACCTCATGTAAAAGGCTTCACCAGCATAAAACCCTCATGTAGACTTCTGGTTCAAGCTAAAATAACTCTTATGACATCATGTAGGTTGCTCAACCAGCCAAAATACCTCATGTACATGTTCTGACTAGCTAAATCCCCTCATTGTAAAGCTCTGGCCAGCTAAAATCTCTCATTCTCTTGTTCCCCTGAAGCTAAAATCCCTCACCTTTGTGTATTTAAGAGGCTCTCCTCTCAGTTGTTTTCCCCTCAGTTTAGTATCCACCTATTTCATACCCCCTACCCTTACAACCCCTTACATACCATTACATACCATCCCTAACCATTGAAATATCAGCTAGACTCACTCTCTCACTCTCAAATCAACCTTTTAGACCTATATAAAACTGGGTTAAACCCTTTGTCCACCTGTTAAGCTACAGTCATCTTTTGATACACTCCACTATCACTTTATTAAACCTCCCAATCTGAGATTGGTGGGCTTGTCTAGTGTCTAGTGATCCAGGAAAGGCAGAGGTATCCTCATTCATCCCTTTCCACACTCAGCAAAAGGTTTTCACAAAACACTTTTGAGCTTTACAAGGGAGTCCCCAACGTGATAGAGGATCCTGTAGTTTGGCAAGTGGATTAGATATATCTAAACCATTGTAGTGATTTTTATAGTTTATTTTAGTAGAATTTTAGTTAGTTTTAGGCAGGAAAATTCCTGTTTTGACCACGTGACAAACCATATTTTTGAATAATCACATTCTGTTTAGCTTTATACGACTTAGTTCTTAGATATACCTAGTAGAACTCCGGATTAAGTAGTTAAATACTCAAGAATCAATTATAAAGTAGAAGACGAGGGGACCGATTAGCCGACGTACTAGAGTAGTTAGGATAAAAAAGTTTAACTACCAGGTGGTAGCCGATTAAAACTCAGTGCGAAGTAGAATACTAGTCTATGACAACCTCCACGAATCTATATAATTGAATAGTAGTATCATATTATTTAGTTTTATTAGTATTATTATTAGTTAGTAACCAAAACCCCCCAACCTTGCCCTGGATAAAGAACGCCAGCGACATTAGTTAGAAGAATTTAGGACTACTACTAGAAATTATCAACAACTCAACTCAAGATAAAGCAACCGGAATCAGTTATTCTCAGTCATGGCGTTTTCCCAGAATCAAGACGGACCGACTCTACCAACAACCAACCCAGCTTCAACTGGAATATTCTCTGGCAATCAAAACAATCCCAACATGAATATTGATCCACCAATAATACCACCTCTTTTACCCCCACCACCAATACGAACAAGTCATACTCGAGTACGGCACTATCGTGAACGGTATGGGGCTCATCATAACAATCAACAAAACGACAACCCAGCTGGCTCTGGGAACACTCAACAAACAAACTACCCTGCGGGAACCTATGGCTTACCTCCGGACATTCAGGAAATGGACGAGCCTATGCCTAGGCCTGCAGTCATCATCAAGGAACCAGACTTAAGATATGAAGGCGAGAACTTTGAAGACTTTTTGGAACGATTCGAACTGGCGGCAGAAATCTACGGTGCTGGCGGCTATGACAAAGCACGTCAAGTGTGTAGATTTGTGAGGTAGAAGAATTGAAGAAGGAATTGGAATCGATGGACGGATACGAGCAGCGGAACTGGACACTTCTTCGTGCAAGCATGATAGAAATCTGGGGAGGCGTGGCAAAGAAGATTTGGTACACGATCAAGGACCTTTACAATTTGATTGATTTCTGTCAGAAGAAAGGCAGAATCAAGCAGCTGAACGATTTCAAAACTTATCAGTCAAAGTTCATGATAATAACTAAGTATTTGGTAAGAAATGAACATATAGTAAATGAAACCAGTGTCTCTCACCTTTTCTTTTTAGCTTTTTCAACAGATATACAGACAAGCATTAATCGAGAGCTAGTCAAGGCAGACCTCATTCCTACAGGGAAGGATGGTTATAACAAACCACCCCTCCTTTCGGATGTCATTGATGTAGCTGAGGATGAAATTCGAGCAAGGTCACTCAATGTCTTTGCAGCTAGTGGATTCGCCGAGGCCAACCAATCCATGCAAAGGACTCTGGACCAGAAGAAAGGCGACGGAAAAAAGCGTGAGAAGATGATGGACGACAATCCTCCGGAAATACTTCAGAAACAGGTTGATAGCTTGGCAAAAGCAATTGAATCACTCACAGGAAAATTGGAGAATCAACCTAAAAATGAATATTCTCATGGAAATGATCGACCATCTGGACGACTTTATGAACCTCGACCCTGTTACTATTGTCATAAGGAAGGACATTCAACCATAATGTGTTACGAAGCACAGAAAGATGAACGAGAAGGACTAGTCAAGAAAGAAGGACGTGATTTCTACCTTCCCAATGGCGAGAAAATTCCAAGGGACCCTTCAAGACCTATTCGGGTGGTTGTGGCTGCGGACTCCGCAAAACCTAAACCTCAGATCACCAAAGTATACCGGACCGATCACCCATCAGTTTTTGAACAACAGGCAGAACCAACACCCAACTCAAACGACTACGTCTCATCAATGCACAAAATTGACTGGAATCCACCACACTTAGGTTCAGAAAATTTTGACAAGGTCAAATCCAACGCAGCAACAACACGAGCAGAAGCGCTCCGTGGAAGAAGAAAACCCATGGCAGCAAACGATGACTCAGCAATAGATTTGGACCCAATCGATGAACTTGAAGAGATTGTGGAAGAAGTGGCAGCAACCAGGAAAAAGCCTGGACAAATCGTGGAACCTCCTCAAGCAAAACCAACTGTTCAGAAATCAGAGAAGACGGTTGAATCAGCCTTAGTCTCAGAGTTGGACAACTTGAAGATACCCACCACTTTTTCCCAACTCACATCAATTTCACCAACATATGCTCAAGAAGTAATCAAGAAACTTCAGAAACAAATTCCGGAACACAAAAATTCAAAGTTTACCTATGTAAAGGGACCAAAACAAG